GGGTGGAGGGGACACGACTGGAAATGCGGCTGAAATCTGAGTTTGCCGTTAAATCCAGTTTCCCCTAAACACCATTCGGGTTGATCAGGCGAGAGTAAACCGTCGTGTTTGAAAGGTTTGGGTGACATTTCTTGCCCTTCATTACTGTGGAATTGGAGGGAAATCCCGATTGGCAAATCTAGAAAACAGCATCTGGGGGTGGAGAAAGGACTCTAGGAGGCTAGGGCTTGAGGTAAGGCTCTGGATTCCTAGAAAGAGCAGCTAATTGACATTTAAAGCCCGAAGACAAGTTGTGTGAGCACTTAAGTGTGAGCACTTAACTGCAGTTTGTAGTTAATGAGTACACAGAAGACCAACCTTGCATTTTAAAGGCAAGCTCTTCTGAGATGTCTGTTGAGAGTTAGAAAAGCCCATGTTCCCTGACTTTGAGAAGGAGGCTGGAGTCTTTGAACATGTATAATAGAATCTGCTGTGGCCAGCAGCTTGTTTTAAGGGAGGAGTGGGTGATGAAGTGTTAGAACTTCCCCTTAGACTCATACAGTTAGTGAGTCTGTGAAACTGATGTTTTTCTTAATGTTGAAATCTATGTTCATAGTTTTTTTCCTGGGAGCTGGGGAATGCAGTGCTGATGGTAGCTTGCATGCCTAGCAAGCACAAAACCCCAGCTTCAGTCCCCAGCACCACATTAAAACTCGGTGGTGGTGCAGGCCTGTAATCCAGGAGGTGGAGGCCTTAGCATCATCAAGGTCCTCCACTACATAGCAAGCTTGAAGGCAGCTTGGGTTACACGAGCCCGGTCTGAAAGAAAAAAGATTTTTCTGAGCTGGGGATGGTGTGGCTCAGACCTGTAATATCAGTTCTTAGAAGGAGCTGGGGTGAGACAGGAAAGTTTGGGTTATGTAGTGAGATCGAAGACTGTCCTTAAACAAAAATTATTTTCTGAGTATGTGTAGTAAGTTTAGAGACCTCTTGTAATTGTTTAAAAACACGTTTTTTTTTGTTCCACATGAGGCAGGTAATAAGACTTTCTGAAGAGTAATTCCACCTCTTTACCTCTAAGTCACAGGATTCCTGAGAGATTAATTCAGTATAAATCGTTCAATATTGAGCTCAACAAAAAGCATGTTGAGTGTTAGTGGAAAGCAAGTGTTATTGCCAAAAATGTTTATTTTACTAAGTGCCAAAACTAGAATTTTATGTAAAACTTGCCTGAACCTTGACTACCATTTTAATTGTTAGGACAGTCAATCAAGATGTAGTAGGCAGTATTGTTCAGTCGTATATTGCTACTGTAACATATAGGGACCCCCCCCCCCAAAAAAAAAGTTGACTTACTTTCAAGAAATAATAGATAACTAAAAAGTTTATTGGAATAGTATATGCATTATATTTATGTGTATGGGTGTTTTGCCTGTATGTATGTCTGTGTACCACATAACATGCTTGGTGCCCACTGAGGTGTTAGCGCCCTAGGACTGTGGTTACCGACAGCTGTAAGCTTCCATGTGGGTGCTGGGAGTCAGACTTGAGTTCTTAGGAAGAACAGTCAGTGCTCTTCACCTCTGAGCCACCTTTCCCACCTGTTTATACACTTAAATGCCACCAGTAAGTCTAGGAACCTGAGGGTTCAGTGTGGTCAATTGTACTCTGCATGTGCCTGTGTCTGTGTTTCTTTAAATGATGAGTTAAGTGGGTTATCTCCTTTCCCCCTCTTCATGCTTTCCTTGGTCACCAAATTCAAACCACTTAATGTAATTTTCTTTCCTCCACTTCTAGAATGATTTCTATTGACGAGTATCCCAGGGTCTATCCTCGGAACCCTTCAAACTCCAGTGTTTGCAAACAAAACAAATTTATTATCTTTTCCTCTTCACAAATATACTGTCAGTTAATAATGGTTGATAGAATTAAGTGAGAAAATGACACTTTATGAAGCAAGCCAGGAGGAACATGGAGAGTAACACTTTAGGATAGAATTCTTCTTTCTTTCTAATTTTTCAAGAGGCACACAAGAAGATAATAGATCGTCAGTCACAGAGTGTGAATCAAGTGTTGGCTAAACTCACTTGTTTGTGGACATAAGCCGTTTGACTTTGTGGGAGAACCTTGGATGTGAGTCGGCTTTGCCAGCCTCTGTCTGCATCGGGTTACTAAGTAGGCGCTACATGGGTGGAAATCTTACAGTTGAGTCTCAGTTTCCCATGTTGTAGAATGAGGACATGATCTATTATCATAAGGAGATCACAAGATGTGGTTTAGTCCATAGGCTACTCAACAAATGTTAATTCTACTCACTCAGACTTTGACCTAGTCTTTTTAACTGTGTGGTATCATCACCACTGCTTCATCTCTGATATTGCTCTGGTTTTTGTTTAGAAGTTTATTAGAAGCCATCTACTTTGGCATTATTCTTAGTATATCCCATATTACAATATGCTTTCAACTCAAATTTGAGTGTTCAAATCAATTACCTGAAAGACTGAAAGTAGAGGGCTGCCCAGTTTCTGCTGGTCTTGGATTTCTTGGTGTTTGGACTTCAAAATGTGTTACTGTTAACCTAGTTAATCTAGTTAACCTCATTTGATTTTGTAATATATTCAAAACACTGTTAAATTAATTCAGTACATTAAGGTTGTTTAATATAGAATGAATGTGCTTTGTAGGTCAGAAGCGTACAATTAGGGATGTGGTAAACACAGTTTAGAGCAGTATCTGAATCTGTCACTTCTGCCTTAGAGTAGTGGTAGTTACATTCACTTTAAAATATTTAGTTCTAGCCGGGTGTTGGTGCCGGATGCCTTTAATCCCAACACTCGGGAGGCAGAGGCAAGCGGATCTCTTGAGTTCAAGGCCGGCCAGGTCTACAGAGTGAGTGCCAGGATAGGCTCCAAAGCTACACAGAGAAACCCTGTCTCGAACCCCCCCCCAAAAAAAAAAAAACCTTTTTTTAGTTACAGAATTAAATCTAATTCTGTTATGCTGGACACTTGTTAATCTCCACTTTGTCATTAATGGGAAGTATGAGTTACATATAAAATTACAACTCAAGAATCAAAATTTTGTGATCCTGCTAAAACTTGTAGGATGTCATTAAAATTTCATGTGTATCTAAATGCTTCATTGAAGGCTTAATTACTGATTTTTCTTCTTAACTTACTTTTTTGGATGTTCTTCACTGTCCCTGCTTTAAAGTTTACTTCTTAGAAGAGAAAGGTGATACTTTTCTAGGGCTGTGGCACACACCTGTAATCCCAGCACTCAAGTTTCAGGACAGCCTGGGCTGTATAGCTAGGACTTGTCTTAAACAAACACACACAAAACAAAACAAAACAACTGAAATTTAAAAACTGTAGATAAGTAAGTAAAATAAACTACATTACTCTTTCAGTATACCCAAGGACTCAGAGGAACCTTTTCCCTTTTTTATATGTTGTGTATTTTATCTTGTTAGTAATAATGATTTACTATTTATTGCCTATGTCTCATACTCAGGACATTCATACATAGCTTTTGAAAGTCTCATCTTTAAATCTCAAAATGATTCCTATTAAAAAGTTAGGAGGATCCTTCTCAGATGCAAGTTACCTTGGAAACCTAGCAGACTGCTAATCCCAGCAAATAAAAAGCAGCCTCATTATGAGGTGTTTGAGTGTAGTAGCATCTCTTGTGTAGTGTACTCGTGTACATTGTAAATTCACCACATTTAGCCTAGTATACCTACCTCACCCCAGTTTTACTTGCCAAACTGCTTTCTAGTGATGAAGAACTCAAGTCAGCCAGGCTATTCCTGAGTACTTTCTGTCAGATTGTCTGTTAGTCAATAAAAACAATGCCTCTCTTTGTTTTGTAATTTATGTTATTGCTATGTAACTGGTAAAGGAATAGAATGGATGAAACAGAAAGTGTTGCTGGGAAATAATGACCTGGTGATATTTGGGGAATTTAAATTAGCCACAAGCTAAAACTAACATACACTGAATTTTGTGATGAAGTAATTTGAAAAAAAGATTCTTGGTTTTGAAGTTTTGACTACTATAAGAGATTTGAGATAAACCAAGATCTTTTTTCAGAGAAAGTTGCTAATATGATACAGTTGTGATTAATGGTAATATTCCCTGGAAACGTATTGGTTTAGGTTAAATGTCCTTTAGATGCTAATATACAGGGTCCAATTGTTTTAGAAGAATGATTTACCAGTTCTCAAATTGTATAGAACTGCTTTTGCATCACCCGAAGTCTTCCTAAGGGTCTGTCTACTCATGTGCTCTGATCTGGAGCCTGGGACTGGGGATATCTGCAGCTCCCGGGGTCTTTGGAACATCAAGTTTACACATCATTTTATGGTCCTTATGTCCCCACTGCTCTAACTTTCTTCTTTATAGTTCATGATTTTAGCAAGGGCAGTGTCTATTGTATTTTTTAAGTACTTGGTTTATGACAATTGGAATGGACTATTGAAGGAACAGGGAAAGTGCTCATGTGAGATATCGCTGCTTCAAAATGTGTTCCCTTTGAAGGAATAAATCAAGTTTTATTTGATTAATACTGCTTTATAAGTTATAACAGTTCAATGTTGTAATAACTTCAGGAGGACTGTGGCCTCTCTACTAATAGGAAACTAGAAGACAGTGTTTTACCAATAAAGTATTTTTCCCTTTAGTGGGGTTGGGAAGAAAATAGTCAGCTAGGCTCTTATCAATTTATAGCAACGAATAACTGTAAGGTAAAATCAGCCGATGTGTATGATCCAGGTGTTGTTGTTTCTTTTCAGACACTGTAACATTACTTTCTGACCTTGTGGAAATTAGAGGTGGAGCTCAGGTCTTGAGGGATGAACAGCATCAGCGGGTTGCATTTCTTTTTGGAGATTCAAGGGGAAATCTTTTTCCTTAAAATTGAAGGAGCTTTGTGTGATTTATAAAGTGTTTATTGAATAGTCTTTATATGCTGTCCTTGGCTTATGTTGTTACTATAAATATTTGTTCAGATCTGATGGCCAAAAGAAAGGAAGAAAATTTCTGCTCTCCTGAAAATGCTAAAAGGCCAAGACAAGAACTGGAAGATTTTGATAAAGACGGAGATGAAGATGAATGTACAATTTCTTTCACTAACGGTACCTCTACTTTGGTAAGCACAGAATTACAAAATAATGCCTTTCAATTGGTTTGTTTCTCATGGTCATTTTATATATGATATTTCATAATTTGTAGTCTGGAGAAAGCATAAGAGTTTTAAAGAGGTGGGTAAAATTAGCTCAAAATTTGAAGATTATGTTACTAATTAGGAATTTTAAGGAAAATAATGGGACAAATAACTAAATCTTTAAATAAAATTGGCAAAGCTGAAGTAAGACCAGTAGGAAAATGAGAAGACATAAATTGCCAATGTTATGAATAGAATAGAGGCCGTGATTACTGACTTGACCCACTACGAGCTTTGAGCTTTACAAGAGTAAGGAAATATAATTGTCCATCATAATTATATAGTGTAAAATAGTGATATCACCAGGTGGCAAGAATGCATTGAATCATTCATACATTGGGATGTAACTTGTTACCACCACTATGGAAAGTTTGTTTCTGTGATAAACAATAGAAAATTGCAATATAATCTTGCATTTGTTCCCAAGAAATGAAGATTTAATTTAGTACAAAACGTGCTATAATTTTAGTAGCTTTATTCACAGAAAGTTAAATTGAAAATAAGTCCACATGTGATTTGGTGACTATCCTGTGGTAGTCCATTCCATGAAATAACTGCTTAGCAGTGACAGAGTCAACAGCAGACAGTTAAACAGAGTGGAAAAAGCCAGTTCCCAAAGATTATGTTTTGCGTAAGTACATTTACTTGGCATTCTTGGAATAACATTCACAGAAATAAAGAAGAGACTAGTGGGTAAGTGGTTGGTGTGCGTTGAAAGGCATGTGATTGTGGTTATGATCCCTACACATTAAAGGATTGCTTGTGAGGGAAACAACAGTGTATCTAGTTTGTCAGTGTCTTGCCTGAGATAACCGTGCTTTATTAAGCTGTTTCCATTGGCAGAAGTTGTGTGAGAGCACATAGGGTCTCGTTTCATAGTAATTGCATGTGACTCTTTATCATAAAGTAAAAATATTTTTAGAAATTCGTCAGTCAGAAATACCTGATAATCTGATATTTTTACATCATGCAATGATGTAAATATTTTCTGCTTTTTAATGAAGTATAGGCTAGAATTGAGATGGAGTTTCAGAAGAACCCATTAAAATTGCTGATCACATTAAAATGGTCTCTGAAGTGTTAGGACTGACAAAGTCTGGTTGGTTTATTCTGATATTTAATATCTGTAGAGTACAGTTGAGTACTATTTGTCAAGTACTGATTAAAAAATTTAATAATATTAATCTTGGCATTTATTTATAATATGGGAGCCTTTTCTGCTTTACAGATTTGGGTACTTTTTCTTGGGTACTCTGTAGACAGAGTTTCTCTGTGTAGCCATGCTGTCCTGTAACTTGTTACGTAGAACAGGCTGGCCTCGAACTCAGAGATCTGCCTTCCTCTGCCTCCCAAGTGCTGGGATTAAAGGCATGCACCACCACGGCTGGGCAAATCCTATGTTCTTTTTTTTTTAATGTGTAGTATTATTTTATTAGATTAATGCATAGATATTCCATTTTGAGAGTTATATATATGGATACATATTTAGTATAGCATTGTATTAATTACATTTTCTTATATATATTTATATTTATATAAAAAGACCAATAATTTATATAAAAAGACCAATACCTATGTTCTTTATACACTGTTAAAAGTCACTCAGCTCTTGTTAGTGCCTGAAACAGAATGTCAGAATAAAAGCATCTGTACAATGCTCTTTGAATTCTCTGTTATGAAACTGGAATGCCATGTCAGAGAATGAATTCCATGGTCAAACCTTGGGCAGGTAGTTTGTAGAATTAGTGGTAACCTAAATAAAATTTGCATTTTATTTAATGATGGTCATTAAAGTTATTGTTGCTCATGATATAACTGTTCATTGATAAATACTGCTGATCTGTCAGATGCTTGGGTATGAGCAGTGAGTGCATTAGAGAGATTGATTTCTCTCCCAATCTTTTTGTTGTTAATAGACTGCAGCAGAAGTTGGAATCATCGAGAGTATTCAGCTGAGAAATTTCATGTGCCACTCAATGCTTGGACCTTTTAAGTTTGGTTCTAATGTCAACTTCGTTGTTGGCAACAATGGAAGTAAGTACCTTTGCCTTCTTAATACACTACTTTGTGATGACATTGCATGAACTTTGTGAAATTGGTGACTGTTAATGCTCATAAATATTTGGATCTAAACTTAGTAGCTTCCCAGTATTTAATTCAGTTTACACTCTAAGAAAATACTAAATTAATGTTAGATATGTTATTTAAGTAGTAGGTATACACTTTCCCTCCCTTTTCGGTTGTCTTTTAGATTTATTTATTTTTATGTGTATGAATGTTTGCTTGCATTCATGTATGTGGACTATATGCATGCATTGCCTTCAGAGGTCAGATGATGGGTTTGAATCCCCTGGAACTGAAATTACAGATGGTTGTGAGCTAGGTGTTGGGAACTGAACCTGAGTCCTATCCAGGAGCAGCAAGTGCTCTTAACCACTATGCCATCTGTTCATTCCATACATTCATAGTCCCTCCCTCCCTCCCTCTTTTTTTCCTTTCCGTTTTCTTAAGATAGAATCTCAGTTGTTTTGCTTAGGCTCAACTCAAACTACTGTGCCCAAGGAGCCTCCTATCTTCTTAGTATAAGACACCACAGCATCCTAGTGTAAACAGTAGATGAGGCACAGATGAAGTGCCTTAGAAATCCAAAAAATGGAAGTGACAATCCATTGTCATCATCAGTGGTTTTTATGAGGATATTGTGTTTTTGCTGGTACTTGAATGAAACTTAAAGATTCCTTAAGACTCATTTGGCAAGAAGCTGAGATGTTCTAGGCACAGATGGCTCATCCTCAAATGTTCAGACTATAGAAGGTGTATATGGAGAATAGGTCTTAACTTTATTTTGTATCATATGGTACATGGAGGGAAAGGGCAGAATATGACAGAATTGTACACAGGATTGTTGAGGGTCTTAACGGCTTGATAAAGATTTTAGAGTTTTATTCAGTGGACAGTGGGTAGTCAGTTAAAACCTTTTGAGTGATGGGTTGACATGGGCAAGATTGTGACAGACTAGCTACATTGTGGCAGGTGTAGGGGTGACTGAGATAGTCTACCACTTAATGACATTACTAGGCAAGGAAATTAGGTATGTTGTAGCTCCATAGTCCCTTTCTTTATTATTGCTGCCTCTGTCATTCATTGAAGAAGGAAGAGATTTTAGCAAGAGAGTGTGAATGGAGAAAAAGGGTCATTATTACAGGGAGGTTGCAAAGTACAAGAAGTAAAGAAAGAATTAAGGTTTCTCAAGTTGTGTCTTTTTAAAATTTAAATGGTTTCTTTAATAAATCTTAATAAAGGATAATTAATTAAAGCATTATACCTGGTAGTAGAGAAAAAAAGAGTAAGAACTTGAAAGGCATTCCAGGGACTAAATTAAGATAATCATTATTTTCTATTGGCTAATTTGGTGGTATGTTGTAGAAGATAACAAACTTGTTAATTGATTGGTGGATGATGAAATTTAGAAAATGGTTGCTATATCTGTGGAGTTTTTGGTGTCATATCTTTTAGAATTAAAAGAATTACACTTCAAAATTAAACATAAAAGGGGTAGGAAATGAAATTAAAATTAAGGGTCAATGTTTAAATTTAAGATATTAAATTAGAAATGTGATTTTCTATTTTTTTTTTTCTATGTAATGTGTTCAGTGAATACATGTGCAGTGAAAGAACAACATGCCTTCCCATGTGGAGTTTCTTACATTTGAGAGCTATTTTAAAGTTTCTGTGCCTAAAAATTTATGATGAAAGGAGTAGCCATAATTAAATTAGAATGTAATAGCAAATTTTGTAAATTAATTACATATGTAAATGTATCCATAGTTTGATGCACCAAGATGACAGATCGAGTTTTGGGTTGCAAAGATAGTGACCATTTTTCTACGTACTTATTGTGGATACAAATTTGGTAACTGAAATGTACGAATTTTTCCTACTGGCAATAGTGAGGTAGTTCTTAATTGTTTGCCACCTTAGCACTTAAAGAAAATTATAATTGAATTTGTAACACTTCAGATTGAGACAGATGCAGCTAACCTTTTGAGTTAAGTTGTAAAGTCAGCATTTTCTTTTTATGAATTTTTCATTTTGTTTCTTTAGGTGGAAAGAGTGCTGTACTCACTGCTCTCATAGTTGGCCTTGGTGGAAAAGCAGTTGCTACTAATAGAGGATCCTCTTTAAAAGGTTTTGTGAAAGCTGGACAGAAGTAAGTGTTCTCTGCTGGCCTTTTATTCCCTAAGAAGCATGTTGTAGAACCCTGGAGAGCGGGTGTCTGCAAGGAGAGCTTTTCTATCTTAGTCCTTTGTCCTGCCCTTGTTGCCAACATGGCCTCTGCTTACTGTTATTGTCTAGTCAGATAGCCTGTGTTACTTGGTACAATGCACTGCCCACTAGTTTAAGTTTATGTTATTTTTATGGAAGAAATGGCAGTGGCAAATTTATGTATTTTTTTAAAGAAATATTTATAAATATTATATACCTTTGTGGGTTTTGGCCTAAACTTGGTATCAGCAATCATGTTAACATGATAGGGATGAGAGCAAAGTCAGTGAGTGATGCTCCAACTTGTTCTGTGCAGAATTTCTTTCTTTAGCTTTCTGTGACTTTTAGAAAAGTATCCTATTATTCAGTGAATGTGATTTTAGGATCACAGTCATAAATCTACTGTATGATGAGCAGTCATAGTACTGCCTTACAATTTAACATTCATATTCCTTTCTTTCTGTTTATTTTTGAAACAGGAGACTGTGTAGCACAGGCTGTCCTTTAACTTGTTATGCAGCAAAGGCTGGTCTTGAACTTCCTGTCCTTTTACCTCTTGCCTTCCCTGTGCTGGAATTGTAAGTGTCTTCAGTTGTGTCTGGCTGCATTGATACTTCTGTCAGATCAGACATTGCTTTCATATACTGAATCAGTTGTCTAATTTTATATCATTGCTGTTGAAGCCTTTTGCCTACTACCAGCCCTTTTTCTGGGGAGTCAGGCTGGTGGTGTCCTTCTTCCTGCTCTTCCTTCCTTTGCTTTCCCTTCTGTTAGTCAAGGGCTGTGCCACTGAGCAGCACTTCTGGTTCCTCTTGCTTTTTGACACTACCCAAGATACCCTCGAGAGGTGTCTTAGCTTCTCATAATAATGCCCAACTTTTGTTACATCCTCTTACAGTTGTATACCTGTCACCTTTATCTAATGGAAACTTTGATAATTGATAGTAATACATGACAGAACATGACACAAATTTCTTTCTGTTTGATGTTGTCTCCATTTTTCTCATTATTTTAATACTTAAAAGTAGAGTAGCAGCAATACAATACAAATGAAGAATGCCAGTTTCTTACATATATATTGCTGAGGAACTTAGGAATCTTAACCTTGATCCAGGATTCCCAGTTGATACAAGAGAAGAAAAGACACACCAGGAGTCATTTTCCATACTTGGCTTGAAAAAGAAGTATGTGAAGACAGTGTTCTAGTTTAGTTTTCTTTTTACATATCTTACTTTTTGAATTTTGTGCCAACAGCTATTTCTGTTAGCCTTCTTCTTTAAACATGTTGTCTTTAGGACAGCTTCAAGACCAGACAGACAAGACTACAAAGGGACAGATGTATAGATTTCAGATGTAGACATAGTAAGATAGGCCGAGATCCTCAGTGGAGCAGCCCAGTCTGCAGAAATTAGTCATTAAACAGCAAAGAGTTTTGTGGATACTAAATGCTTCAGGGTGGGGATGGTGGGAGAGAAAAAGAGAACTCTTAATGAGGTGGTTGTTTGTTTTTGAGTCAGGGCCTCACTATAGCCCTGGCTGGCTGGAACTTGCTGTGTACACCAGGCAAGCTTCAAACTCAGAGATCAGGTGCTAGGATTAAAGATGTTTCCTAGCAGTTCTGGCTAGCAACACAATTTTAGAGGCTAGTCTTTTAGCTCTTTTAAAGAAAGGTTACTAAAGCTACATTTTGGTCCATACCTGTAATACTGGCATTGGGGAGACAGAGATTTGGTGTTTGCTCTATTTCCAAGTCAGCTTGAACTTCTAGGGATTCCAAACCAGCTAGGGCTGTGTATTAAGACCTGGTCTCCCAAAACAAATTATTTACTGTTATTACCTCTTCTTTAGTGCTTTAAGATATATATATATGTTCCCTCTTAAGGCAATTACCTTTGAAAATCAGTTGTGTAAGCTAGTAGCTTTTAAACTGTATTCAAGACATGTCTCAGAATTTATGCTTGAGTTCCCAGTACTTCACAAATTGGGAGGAGAGGTTAAAGGATTTAATGAGACACAAAACATCTCCTGTGGAATAACATCACTTGACTAGTTTAAGGAAGCCAGCCAAACATTCAGTCACAAATTCTATACAGTTTTATGTGGTGATAAATTATTTATGATTTAATAAACCTTGCCTGGAGATCAGTATACAAAGCTAGCCATAGCCATAGAAGTTGGGTGGTGGTGGTCCACACCTTTAATCCCAGGACTCAGGAGTCAGAGGCAGATGGATTTCTGTGAGTTCAAGACCATCCAGGGCTACATGGGAGTGACTCAGTCTAAAAGAGAAACAGAGCTTATACCTTTAATACCAGCACTAGAGAGGTATATAAGAAAGAAGCAAAGGGTCACATGTGGGGTTCATTTTCTAGTCACAGGGAAGACAGGCTCTCCATTTCAGCCTTGGTAGAGGTAACAGCTACTGGCTAGATGCTTTGCTTTTCTGATCATCACCTTGAACTCCAGTATCTGTCACTGGGTTTCTGTTATTTGTGCTACAATTTTATGACTTTTTATATAGATAGAATGGCTATGTTAAAACATAAATGTTACTTTTTTTTCTAGTTTTACGTTTTTTTTTTTTTTCCTTTTGTAGTGATAGGTAAGTGACTAGAATGTAATTGATACTGAAACTGTAAAATCATGGTACATTAAAATTTTTTATTGAACTTTTATTACATTGGTTCTTAACCTGTGGGTTGAGACCATTTTGGGGGATGAACAGCCCTTTCCCAAGGGTCACCTAAGAACATTGGAAAACACAGATGTTTACATTGCAATTCAAGACAATAGCAATTACAGATATGGAGTAGCAATAAAAGTAATTTTATGGTTGGAGGTCACCACAATGTGAGGAACTGTTTTAAAGGATCTCAGCATTAGAATAGTTGAGAATCACTCCTTTATTATAAAAGATGGGTGCAGTACCCATGCAGGTAGACCAGTACTTGAAGTTAATAGCAAAGTATAATAAAATAAAACAGTTGGGGCCAGTAATTTAAAAGTATTAGATGTTATTTCAGACCTAATTTTCTTTTTCTCAGGCTAATTTTTTATGTGTGTGTGTCTTTGTAGTTCCTTTGGTTCTCCTCCACTATCTTTCTGGTCCTTGTTTGTTTGTTTGTTTTTAAGACAGGGTTTCTCTGTGTAGCCTTAGTTGTCCTGGAACTCTTACCTATAGACCAGGCTTAAGCTGAACTCAGAGATATGCCTGCCTCTGTCTCTGGAGTGCTGGTATTAAAGGTGTGCAACACCACTGCCTATGTTATGTGCCAGTCCCTTTTCCTAGATGGTTCTACTTCACTGTGTGTTAGCTTCCCTCCCTGTCTCTTTGTGATGACTGAGTATGTGACTTTGATCTGTGGAGTTTGTGCTCTAATTCTTCTTCCTCATCTTAGTCTTGGCCACAGACTCCATGTGTGCAGGCATTACTGACTAATACTTTAATTTGGAATGTGTGTGAAGGAAGTGAGTTTTATCTGTGTGATTCAGTCAGTGACTGGGGTATGTGGCTCTTATATCAGTCAGTTAGGTTCATTTCCCTTGAGCTCCTGCTTTCCTCTGCAGGCTTCATTACCTCACCAGGTTGGTTTCACTGTTGAGACCTCAAAACTGTAGCTCTAATGCACCATCATTCCTTGGTTTGGTCATGTTGAAATTTGAGTTAAGAAAAATTTATTTTAGATTTACAGACATGTTGCAAAGATGGTATGGTGTTTCTTCTATATTTTTCACCACTGTTGATTTAGGGGTCACTAAGATGTCTCTAACCAAGCTATGTAATCCACATTAGGGAGTCTTAAGTGTAGGCTTATTTTCCTGATATTGAATTTTAAGAGTCTGATTGTTCCATGCAGACTTATGTATATTTAGCCCAGTTTTGGGGAATGGAGACATAGACTGATAGGTGGCTAAGTACAGCAAATGCTGATGTGTATCTCCTGTCACATCTGTAGTGTATAGAGAAGTTCATCTTGAATATTTTTCCTGCATTTCCTATAAATGTTAAAGGATGAAGTTTATTGGCAAATCCATAAGAAGTTCATCAAAGATTTCATTTAATTAAAATAGTTTTGTATGAGAAGACATTAGTATTTTGTCAGATGCTCACATGAATCAGGAAATATTGCTCACTTTTATCACAGCTTTATTTTCTGTCTGACACAGCGTCTTTAACATTACGTGATAGACAATGACCTAAGCATAGCTAATCTCCTGACGTGTTAAGCAGGTTGCTTAGGGGATTTGAAAATTGCTATGATCTAATGTGTTGCACTGTGCCATCATGTAACTCAGGTTAACCTCATTGTTTCAGCTCAGCAGACATCTCAATAACGTTACGGAACAGAGGAGATGATGCCTTCAGGGCAAATGTGTATGGCGACTCTATAGTTGTGCAGCAACACATTAGTGTGGATGGAAGTCGATCTTACAAACTAAAAAGTGAAAAAGGTTTGTTGGTTTTCTTATGTCTTATGAAGTATTAGTAAATAGCTAAAAGTTCTTACATTGTCCCTGTGATATCTTCCTAGTCTCTTGAAACCTCCTTTTGTAACCTGCTTGGTTGTACAAGTAGACACACACACACACACACACACACACACACACACACACACACAGGTACATGTGTATATTACACTTTGTTGCTATAAGACATAAAGTCAACACCATGTTTAACAGAAGTAGGCTGTGTCATTTTGTTTTCAACTGTAGGTTTCCTTTCTTTCCCTTGATTTCTGTAGCTTAGAGATAGCAGAAGGTTGGAAAGGGTATGAAGGGGGAGGTGAGGGTTCAGTTATTAAGAAGATACTGGCTGGGACCCACAGGAAGACATATGCATTGTTACATACTGCATGTGTGCTTTTTCCTACTCTCTATTTGTATAATGACTTAATATGTCCCCCTGAAACTATATGTATTTACTGGTGTTTTTGTTGTTGTTGTTGGTCTGACAAAAGGTGCTCAATATTTGTATTTTTAGACAATTGTACATTTCCCCTCTATTTCACAAGGAGTCTGGTCTTTGTGTTTTTGTAACCAGGCACCGTGGTTTCTACTAGGAAAGAAGAGCTGATTGCAATTCTTGATCATTTTAACATCCAGGTAATTGCTAAACTTGTTTTTCAGATTAATTAATGAAACTATCATTTTATTGGTGTGATTTTTTGCTTGTGGCATGTATATAAGTAAATAAGATGGCTTCATGGTAAATTGATGAGAATATATGTGCTGCACTTTTAGTGCATTGGCTTTGTTAACATAGGGGAGAATATCTTGTTAAAATTTATTTAATAATGGTATGAAATTTCTGTGCAGTATAGGGACTCACAGGTTCTTTTTATGACTAATGAACGGCACGATCTTTGGTGGTGCTGCTGATCATGGGCTGGTGGCCAGGCGTTCTGCAATAGCACCAGGTCTTTTCCAAGAAGTCAGATAACTGAGGTCTAAGGAAGCATCTCGAAGCATGGTTCTTACTCCCTTCCTCCTTTTCTTCTTTCTTTTGAAATATGGACTCACTGTCTAGCTCTGGCTGGCCTGAAACTTGATATGTAGAGCAGGCTGTCTGATACCTTCCTGTCTGCCTCCCCTCCCAAGTGCTGGAGTTAAAGATGAGTACCACCACACTGAACTGTAGGCATTTTTTAATGCAGTAAAAAGCACCAGCATTTATATAAAAGGGACTGCCTGGTTTGTCTGTGGCTTTGGAGGCTGTCCTGGAACTAGCTCTTGTAGACCAGGCTGGTCACAAACTCAGAGATCGGCCTGCCTCTGCCTCCTGAGTGTTGGGATTAAAAATGTGTGCCACCACCACCTGGCAGGGGATTGCTTTTAAAAATTATTTTAATTAGCCCGGCGTTGGTGGTGCATGCCTCTAATCCCAGCACTCGGGAGGCAGAGGCAGGTGGATCTTTGAGTTCGAGGCCAGTCTGGTCTACAGAGGGAGTTCCAGGACAGGGTTCAAAGCAATACAGAGAAACCCTGTCTCATAAAAACAAAAAAACAACAAATTCAACAGCTGTCATTTTTAATGTTAAAATGAAAAGTTGCAGTTTCTTTCTTATACTAGTCCTGTATAATTAACCTGTGAGTATTATTTTTAACGTCATAAATTGCTTTGTTAATAGTACCATAGTTGTTATTATATAAGCACCCTGAATCTTCAAAACAGAATATGAATTTAAAACCTTTTCACCATACATATTCTGGTAGCTAACTGGACTTTTGTTTAAGCTATGGCTTATTTAAAATGACTTGTGCTCCTAATGTTAAATGAGATATTTTCCATTGGTTTTTCTATTATCCTCACAAAGTTAGAAAGATATGAGAAATCTTAAGCACTGCTGTAGAGAAACAGTACGTACTTGCCATCATGGTTCTGGTCACAGGTAACTGGGCCAAACTTTCTTTGTGTATTGAAAAAGTTCACTGACTGGCCAAAGGCTGCAACCAATAGGGATAAGGACAGAATTCATATAAGAATGCAGAAAAGCTGACTCACATGCTATACTCCCTTTGATGGTTGTGACATTAAGTGGTAATCTATCAAAGTGAGAAGCCTACATTTTTTTCTTTGCATGTGTTGTTTGGTGCTTGTGTGTGTGTGTGTGTGTGTGTGTGTGTGTGTGTGTGTATGCGCTTGCATGTGTGTGTTTATGGTGTGCATGTACATATGTGTGGGAATGCTTGTTTGTGTGGAAGGCCAAAGTTGACAATGTGTATCCTCAGTTCCTGGTCACTTTATTGAATCAGGTTCTCTTGCTGTACCTGGAGCTCACCAATTCCTGCTAGTCTGGCTAGCCAGCTCACTTTGAGGATCCTTAGTGTCTGTCCCCTAAATGCTAGGGTTAAAGTTAGCTGCCATTCCTGACTGGCTTTTTACATGGGTTCTGGGGTTCTGAACTTCAGTTCTCATGCATGCATAGCAAGTGTTTTACCCACTAAGCCATTTCCCTAGCCCTTGAAAAACACCAGTAAAGGCATGTAAGAGCCTTCTTGAGCTTGTATGTTCTATAGTAGAATGCTGAATATGATTACAATGCATTTTGGTATTGTTTATTTTGAAGTATTATCTTGTATTAAAAATTGTAGCATTGCTTTTTGTATTTTATTCCTAATGCTATAAACTTTGACTAAAGCTTAGCTTTCTTGATTGACCACTGGTCATTTATAATGTATAGTTTGGTTTAAAGCATTAAAATGAAATATTTCTTAATGCCCTTTTTAAAAACTTTGTTTCAGGTGGACAATCCAGTTTCTGTTTTAACACAAGAGATGAGTAAGCAGTTTCTACAGTCCAAAAACGAGGGAGACAAATACAAAGTAAGAGAATAAATTAAATATAAATCTAACTAAGATCATGGTTTCAGATACATAGAAACTTGCCCAGATAATGGATACTGAGATTTTTTTCCCCCCCTTCAGAATCACCCATTTAAAGTAATATTGTAAAATAGATTTAAACTTGGCCAAGTAAGATGCAAGTGTAATGTTTTTGGTATATCTTCATTTTTTTCTAAAATTTGACGTTTCATTTTAAAAGAATAGATTATTTTTTCAAATAACCTTTAAGAAAGTACAGTAGAACGAACAATTGGCCACATATAATGTAATAACTTAACAAACTTTAAACCATTTAAAATTTTAAAGCTAAAGAATTATTTGATTACTAGTAAAACTTAGTGTATAGTCATCTGAATGAATTTTGATACTTCCTATTCTTGAAAATTTGGAAGTATTATGCTTTGTAAATAGAATTTGTGGAAATGCAGGGATTTTTTAAATTTCCAAGTTGATCATTTTCATGCTTGAAGATATTTCCTTCATGGGGTATTAGGAGTTTTTGCAGTTGACTGTGTAGATGTGGATATAGCACATTCAGTAATTTTAATGTGAAATAAGATTTGTTCTACGTGTTTATGTATATATGCTTATGTTTTTAATGCTTTCTATATAACTGGTTTAAAAGTTTTGGGGTCTAAAATTCTACCCCCTTTTTTGGGCACAGAAAAGCCTACAAAGTTCTAAGTGTATGTTTCTTCTTGTTGATATAGTTCTTCATGAAAGCAACCCAGCTTGAACAGATGAAGGAAGATTATTCATATATTATGGAAACAAAAGAAAGAACAAAGGAACAGATAAATCAAGGGGAAGAGGTTTGTAAATACTATAAATCTTTTTGAGCTGAGCTCAGTTCCTAGGTTACTTAAGGTAAAAGTTTCAAAATTATATTCCTGTGAATAAATCTTATATCTTCCTGAAATGAATGCCAATTTTTTTAGCACACTAATTTATGACATTTAATTTTTATAACTAGGGCATTTAATAGCTTTAATTTTGTTTTGTGATAATGGATATGCATATGTCTTTTTTCTTCTTTTTGACCAAATTAGAAGATAAAACTATGTTATATTTCAAATCCCCTGTTGTATAACTTGGTTGTACAAGGCATCTCTGATTCTCACTATAAGTAGTTTGAAAATGTATAACATTTTGTTGAGTACAAGGGACAAGCTGATGTTAAACATAGTATGTGCTTATAGTAGATAACTCATTCCAAGATAGTGACATTCCTTAAGCAGCCAGTGCGTATCAGCTGCTGTCAAATCTTAACATTTTGGCCAATGGGCATATTGTTTGAAGCTTTGAATTTTTAAATAACTTCTACCAGTCATGCCCTGTTTCATTCTGTTTTGAATAAAATTTTGAGTGGTTTTTATGTTATCAGGATTACCAAGTAGGAAGTTGGTTATATGAATTAGAAACATAGGTGTAAAACGTGATCTTGCTAACAGTTTTTAGTCCAGATATATAATGTATTTTATTTAGATCACTAGGAGAGCAGGAAAAGCAGACCCACCCTCAAGTATGAATGTTTTTGTTTTTGTTTTTTGTTTTGTTTTTTTGAGGTAGGGTTTCTCTGTGTAGCTTTTGAGCCTGTCCTGGAAGTAGCTTTTATAGACCAGGCTGGTCTCAAACAGAGATCTGCCTGCCTCTGCCACCCCAGTACTGGGATTAAAGGCATGTGCTACCACTTCCCGGCAAGCCTCAACTATGAGAAAAGGTCACAGGAGCCATATAAGACAAGAGAATTTGAGAAGGAAGTGGTCCTGGCTGAGATGTAGAAATTGACAGAACTTGTCACTATTAAGTTGTGGAGTCTTCACAGGTGTCTGTGGAAGGACAGGTTCAGTAGTGAGAAAAACAGGAGCCAAGTCTGCAGAGTTAGGAAATGGAGCAGATACAGATGGTTTTCATGAAACTGGGTGGGAAAGGTGTAATGAGACTGTAGGGTCCAAGACATCTTACATAACCAGGCTACCTCCTTTCTTTTGTACCTACTCTAGATTTGTAAGTAAGAATGTTGGAAATGTTGAGTGTCTCCATCTGCTGACTTGCATAGCCGCTGAAGGCAAAGGCAGGCAGTATCAGTGAAGGAACGAGGAGGCAGGGAAAGTAAGCTTGGAAGGATTTGGTAATAGATTGAAATAATCTCAGCAAAGGGAAGGTAAATTGGATTAGATGAGGAATCAAAGCAAGATTACAGTATTGAGGCTTGGTTGAATATAGGAAATGTGAATGAAGGGGACCATCCACCCAGGTGTGAAGAACATGAAGTCTGGCAGCCACTTAATAACCTGTTCTAATGACATGATATTTTGTATTTGTTTCATTTATTAGAATTAGGACCTTTTTGATTGGAGGAATAAATTCCTTCTCTTTCTGGTATTTTGAATAGTTTTTTGTACTTGTTGTGGTTTATTTGGAAGGCTTGTTTAGCCTTTAGAGGGGGAATTAAGAGATAGGGATATTTAGACAGGGCATTAAGTGGGAAATGAAAAGGAAGCTTGAGGACATGTGTGGTCTTGAGCCTGTAATCCTTTGCTCGTAATATTTGATCATTTTTTAATAGTGTAGAGCTTAGCAAAATTATTGTAGTTAACACAAGTATACCAAAAGACTAAAGTTCTTTTATTTTTACTTTAATGAAATCATTTTCTAACAAGCTTTTGTGTGGTATCAGTTTAGGCCTGTTTTTATTTATTTATTTATTTATTTATTTATTTATTTAAACATTTATTTCATTTGCATTCGTATTTTTGCCTGCATGTATGTCTTCGTGAGAGTGTCAGATCTTGGAGTTATGGACAGGTGTAAGCTGCCATGTGTGTGCTGGAATTTGAGCCCCGGTCCTCTGGAATAGCCAGTGCTCTTAACTGCTGAGCCATTTCCCCAGCCCCCTAGGCCTTGTTTTAAATAACATGTTCACAATATATTTCCTTCTGATGTTTATAAAAATATCTATTTTTCTTTTAAGCGACTTACTGAACTAAAGCGCCAATGTTTGGAGAAAGAGGAACGTTTTCAAAATATTGCTGGTTTAAGTACAATGAAGACTAATTTAGAATATTTGAAACATGAAATGGCTTGGGCAGTGGTAATTTTCACTTTTGTTAATCTATATTCATTTGTAACTTTCACAGACTACAAAACTGTTCTTTGTAATAATTTTGTATATGATTGCATTTCAGGTCAATGAAATTGAAAAACAATTGAATGCTATTCGAGATAATATCAAAATTGGTGAAGAACGTGCTGCCAAACTTGACAGGAAAATGGAAGAACAGCAGGTACTTAGAGGCTCTTACAAGGATATAGTTAGTTAGGTCATGAGATTGCTGGTGCTGGTTTTGACCTACAAGCCACCTGTGTATATAAGTACATCTGTTAAACTTGAACCAGATCTATTCTTTTCCATAGACTGTATAGCAGCTGCAACTGTTTTGAAAACAGAACTGTATTTGTCTGTAATAATCCTGAGGCTTGGCTGCTGACTTCTCATGCGTGTGGACAATAGGACTTTGTTAAGGAGTTCAAACCGAACACTTGAAAAATAGGGAGGTACCAAAATAACTGTCAAGGTAGATTCATATTAAAGTTAGATATTAGTAAACTGAAAAAATTAGAAGTGAAAATAGTGCCAAGAGAAACTTTAGGATACTATGATTTATGATCCAGAATCTAGATTTCCTATTGGTAGAGTTTATAATAGATAACTTGTTAGGTTTGTTCAAGTGTATTTCCGTGGATTTTGGTATATTCACAGGCTGTGCAGCTGCAACACAGAGCTTCCTGCACTGTCATGCTCAAAGTGGAACTTGTAGCTTCTTGGTTTTTATAGGTAGAGCTTCTTAAAACTTTTCCACTCCCAACCCTTTATCACCTGTATTAAGGTACATAAAATATGTTTGTAAATCAAACATTCACTGATAATAAATCATAAAGAAATTTTCTTTTTTAATTTTTGAGACAGGGTTTCTCTTTGTAGCCCTGGCTATCTTGGAACTACACAAGGCTGTCCTTGAAATCAAAGATCCTCCTGTCTCTGCCTCCTGAGTGCTAGGATTAAAGGCATGCACCATCTCTGCCTCACAAAGGCATTTATTTTAACACAATTCTTTGGTGAACATACAATTTTTACCTTAAAGATGGATGCACATTTTACATAAGGAATTAAATCTTTAGCTAAGTATTTGATACTGTTCAACATACATCTTTAATGTTTTTTTCAGAGTTGATGTCTTAGTTTTATAGTCATTGCTAAGAATGCCACTTTATAGTACAGAGTACAATATGAGTACAAAGTAGCAGAAGGTTTTTTTAAAAGGCTCATTTTAGAAATTGTTGGAAATTCTGTTCTAACCACTAGGAATTTTTAAAGCAATGTTTTGCTTTTGGAAACAGGATTTCTCTGTGTATCCCTGGCTGTCCTGGAACTCGCCTTGTAGTTCAGACTGCCCTCAAACTCAGAAATCCTCCTTCCTCTACCTCCCGAGTGCTAGGATTAAAGGTATGTGCCACCATGCCTGGTTGAAGCAGTGTTTCATGGTTTTTCATTTTTAATGAAACTGGAGTCAGAAACTCAGAGCAGTTTTTAAAAGCAAATATCCTAACCCTAATCCTAACACTAATAATCCAGAGATACAATAATTTGATATAAGCTACTGAATGATGGTAGAAAAATATGTTACTCTAATTTTATCTATTCAATAAAAATACTGCAGTTCATAACATAAAACTGTCAGACCTGAGCTGAGGTGTGTTTTAAGCAGGTTTGTTGTTGTTGTGACATAATGGTGTGTATAGTGCAAAGTGCTCATACTGCATCCAGAAACAAGACTGTGGAAAGGTACATGATACAGCATGGCCAAATAAACACCCTGAATGTATTATGCATTTGAATTTCCTTTCATTTTTGGTTATTCGGAAGCATTTACTGTTATGTTTTTGAGACTCCCACATTCTATTATGTGCTGTCACATGGGGTACAGTTCAGTTTAAGAAGCAGTGCTTTATAAGATGGCCTTCCTCATCCTACCCTGTGTGTCTTTGTGAATTACTTATATCTTACTATTTTATTCTCCTTTGATTAGGAATTTCTGCCCCAAGCATGGTTGTAGTTTAGGATGCAATCTTCCCCAGCTTACTACATGTTGTCTGTCTTTACCCTTAAGAGTTCTGTAGCAGGGAATAATGTATTTGCTTTGCAATCTCTGGGCAAGGTTTCTCACTCCCTCTTCAGGTAATAAATGGAAGTTCAACCCTTGGTACCACTCTCACCTCAAATTCTGTTTCTGACAAAATAGTGTAAAAATTTTTTTCTTCAAATATGTTTATCTTTTTAACCTTACTTCTCAACTTGTTGTACAGGAAGTTCTTAAGTAGTTTCCTTGAGAGGTATTTTCCCAGTCTAATAATGAAATCCAGTTGAGTAATAGTCACTGCTTTTTCAAAAGCTGGTAGTTGTGAAGAAAGCTGTGGGTTTTCTTCTGTGTAAGCATTTGGTGTTTCTGTAGGAAATTAGAAACTTTTGGAGGGTAAGGACTATTCTATAGTGGTAGTTATATCCTTCCTACCATGTATCTTTTTAACTTTAAATCTCTTTGAATGGATGTTTTTCCTACATGCATCCTTGGTGTCCATGAAGACCTGAAGTTGTTGGGTCTCCTTGAACTGAAGTTACAGACGGTTTTGAGCTGCTGTGTGGCTGCTGAGAATTGAACCTGGGCCCTCTGTCAGAGCAGCAAGTGTTCTTCAACTGCTGAGCCATCTGGCCAGTCCCCTTCCTACCATTTTTATGCAGCACTTTGACATGACTTTATTATTATTTGTAGACTGACCTTTGAATGGAAGGTTTCTGAAGAAATATTATATCATACTAACCTTAAATTTTTGTTAACTTTAAAACCATATTTAGCTAGGCAATGGTGGCTCGTGCATTTAATTCCAGTACTTGGGAGACAGACGCAGGTGGATCTTTGAGTTCAAGGCCAGTCTGGTTTACATAGTTCCAGGACAGCCAGGGCTACACAGAGAAACCCTGTCTTGAAAAACAAACAAACAAAAGAGCAACAGACCTATGTTGGATTTTTTATAGAGGAAATGTGCTAGCTTCTGATTTAAATGGCACTCCCCTCCTTCCTTCCCTTTCTAATTCATTCCTGTTGTCATTGTCTCATTTTGGTCCCTTAAGGCTGGATATTTGTTATTACTCAAACCTTTCCTGTAATTTTCCTGACACCTTGCCTTCAACAAGTTCAAGGATGCAAATTTGGACATAATCTATATACTTTAGAGGAATCATTTATAAGCTGTTGATTATGGAACATAAAGTTTTTCTGTCATTTCATTTCACATTATGTTGTCAGTTGAACTTCTGTTATTTTTAGTTTCTAAAGTAGATACTGATAACTACACATGCTTTAGTGTCTTTGCCTAAAACTTTTCCCTCAGCCTATGTCCAGGTACACTTTAATTACCCTTTCTGTTGCCAACACATATGCTTCTTTCTCTTTGGATCATCCTGACTTTTCCTATGGTTTCTTTTTTTTTTTATGTTTTATAATTATAATAAATAGGTGTATTCTACCTAGTCTCCAGTTTGTGTGTATTTTGTTACATTGTGTCTTTCTTAAATCTTTCTCATGTAAAGACACTATTTCTTTGTATACTCAGAGGATAGCATGTATTGGATAACTAAGTGGGTCAAGATTAAATTATATTTTAGTATTTTATGTAACTGATTGCCTAATATCTTTTAACTTTAAAGTTTCATCTCATTTATCTATTTTGTGTATATGCATGCACATATGTGTACACACATGTAAGCTATGGCATCCGTTGATGCCTTGTGTCATGCCAAGAGATCAGAGGACAGCTTAAGGGAGTCATTTCTCTTGAGCAAATTGGTTCTCAGGTTAAACTTTCGTTGTCAGGATTGGCATGGATGCCCTACCTGTTGAGTTGCGTCACTTAGCCCTTATCTGATGTCGTGAGTAAAATTAATTTCATTGGAATGTGACGGTCCATATTTTTTATGTTTTTCTTGTTATTGAAAAAAAATAACTTGAGTAATGTTTTTTTCTTAAAGGTCAGACTTAATGATGCAGAAAAAAAGTACAAAGATATTCAAGATAAACTAGAAAAAATCAGTGAAGAGACAAATGCACGAGCACCAGAATGTATGGCATTGAAAACAGATGTCATTGCAAGGACAAGAGCTTTTAATGATGCTGAGGTGGGAGGAATCTTCTAACTTAGAATATAAGTGTTTATATTCTAACTTAGAATATAAGTGTTAGCTTTTACTTTTCTGTTAATTATATTTTTTTAAAGTAGTGTTTTTCTACTTCTATCAAAATAAAATATGTTGTGTTCACTCATTTAAAAAATGTTGTTTCAGCTAGGTGGTGCTGGCTGGCACACTCCCAGCACTTGGGAGGCAGAGGCAGGCAGATCTCTGTGATTTCAAGGCCACCCTGGTCTACAGAGTTCCAGGATAGCCAGGGCTACACAGAGAAACCCTGTCTCAAAAAACAAAAACAAAATAAAATGTTGTATCAAATGGTCATGGGTGTGTTTTGATGGGATGTTTATATATTTCTGCATGTTACTAAAATATGTTTAATTCTTTGTTAGGTTTTGTATAACCGTTCCCTAAATGAATATAAAGCATTAAAGAAAGATGATGAACAGCTCTGTAAAAGAATCGAAGAGCTAAAGAAAAGGTACTACAGTAACCCAGCATTTCCATAATTTCTTCGATGTGTAATGAGGAGGCACCGTAAGTGGTGCATCGTCTCTGTTGGGTTAATGAAAGTTTACTACAGTGGCTTAAGCTTTTAAACGTCAGGTTTTATTTAACTGTTTTTCTCCTTTTATTTATTACTCTCTTTAGCACTGATCAGTCTTTGGAGCCAGAGCGCTTGGAAAGGCAAAGAAGGATCTGTTGGTTGAAAGAGAAAGTACAGGCTTTGCAGGACCAAGAAAGTGCCGTCAATCAGGAGGCTGCACAGTTTGAGCAAGCTATAGAAAAGGACAAACAAGAACATGTCCGAATTAAGTAAGTTCACACCTTTCACTTACTTGAGTGTCATGTAGTTCTGCTGTTAATATGAGGAGAAAACAGCTTTTTTGTGATAGCGGTAAAGAGCCTTTTGACTTGGTTTGTTTGGAGTCAGAGTTGTAATCCTGATTGGCCTGGGAAGCTCAGCATAGCCCAGCTTGGCCTGCATCTCAGAGATCCACTGCCTCCTGAATGCTGGGATTAGAGGCCTGTGCCACCAACCTGAACTGATAAAAATGTATTAAAATTATTTTTCTAAGATTTTACTTGTATATTTTGACAGTCTGTGGTAATTTTCCATCCGTATTGCATCACATAACGTGAGTTTTGAGTGCTGCTGACTGCTTTTTTTGGTAACTCAATTATTTGTAAATTTAAAAAAATCACATTTTTAGTGTAGTAAAAGCCCTAATATTTCTGTATATCTTAGCATATAATGTGTTTCCTTTCTTTGCTTTTATATTTTAGGAGAGAAGATTTAGATGTGAGGCATACACTGACCTATAATCAGAGACAATTGAAAGAACTGAAAGATAGTAAAACTGATCGACTAAAAAGATTTGGTCCTCATGTTCCAGCTCTTCTGGAAGCAATAGATGATGCTTATAGACGGAGACAATTTACTCATAAACCTATTGGCCCTTTAGGTATTTGCCACTGTTTTTGAAAATATCATTAACACAAATTCTTAGTTCTAGGAAGTGTTCTATTTAGCTATCCAGTTATGTATAAACTTTAATTACATCAAGGGGTTTTGGCATTAGTGTGGGACAGACAGTCTTATGTATCTGGTGTTGAGCTAGTAATCCTGATCTTCCGTCTCTGCCTCTTGAGTGCTGGGATTATAGGTATGTGCCACCACTCCTGGCTCACATTTTTAAACATAATAAGAAAGTCACTTTAAATGTCTACCTTTCCTTTTCTTCTTTGAAAACTAAAACCAAGAAGAGAAAAACAATTTTTGTTAATCCTCTCAGATTCATGTGGTCTTCATAAAGTGTCTTCTGTTTCATTTGTTACTTCATTTAAACAGTGTCATCTCCAGTCTGCTCCTAGTTTCAAAGTCCATGTGAATGTATTTTCATTTGTTTCTACGTAGGATTTCAGAAACTTTAGTCACATTCTTCTAGGGAGTGCTCTCTCTGTAGAACTGTATTACTTAAATGTTTATGAATCCTTTTTTTTTTTTTTTCTCTGTGTGTGTGTGTGTGTTTGTGTGTGTGTTTGTGTTTGTATGTGTGTTACTTTAGGTGCTTGCATTCATCTGCGGGACCCAGAACTTGCTTTGGCCATTGAATCTTGCTTGAAAGGACTTCTGCAAGCCTATTGTTGCCATAATCACGCTGATGAGAGAGTACTTCAGTCATTGATGAAAAAATTTTATCCACCAGGGACCTCTCGGCCACAGATAATCGTTTCTGAATTTCGGAATGAGGTATATGATGTGAGACTCAGGTAATCAGATAAATACTGTCTCTAGTTTGCTTAATCGTGTGTACGATTAAAAAGGTATTTCATAGGATACTGTGTTTTCCTCTCAAGGGGACAGTATCCAGAACTCTTTTACTATCTGTGGCTAATCAGCCCACTTTATAAATAAAGGTATGTGATCATGGCACAGTGGTGTACACCTGTAGTTTCAATTACTCCAGATATTTTGAACCTAGGACATAGAAACTTACCACACATTAAGAAAAAAAAAAAAAAAGGTGACTGGCCCCTTGTTTCCTCCTCTCCTTGTTCTTGCTCCTCTTCTCTCTTGCTTCCTCATCCCTCTTTTTCTCCTTCTATTTATTCTCTGCCTTCCAACCCTTCCTATCCTTTCTCTTGCCTTGCTATTGACCTTTTAGCTCTTTATTAGACTAATCAGGTGTTTTAGGCAGTCAGGTAACAGCTTCACAGAGTTAAACAAATGCAATATAAAAGAATGCAACACATCTTTGCATCATTAAACCAAATGTAACCTCCTAAACTAATACTCCAGAAAGAGGTGCTGATACACTTAATTGCTTATGTTGAAAATGACACAGTGACACCTGAACTGGTGACCTGCCTGCTGGGTGGGTGCCAGATGGGAAAGTTGGAAGCTGTTCTGTAAAGTTACATAAGGGAGAACACCTCCTTGAACCAGTTTTGTTGTTTATTTTAATTAAGGATTTATTTCACTTTTAACTAATGGGATAGGGGGTCTTGAGATTTGTACAGATGAATTCAGGTCCCACTGAGCCAAAAAAAGAACATTTGATTCCCTGGAGCTGGAGTTAAAGGCAGTTGTGAGTCACTTGATGCTGGTGTCTTCTGTAAGAGCCATCTGTCCAGCTCCCTATTATTCCTGAACAGTTGTGTGGACTACTCTGTGATCTGCCATGGGGCCTGGTGTAGCATGAGTTCTAATTGGTCTTAATAATAAAAACTTTGGAGTCAGCTGTCAGAGGGTGAATGCTGAAGGATCAGAGAAGCAGAGCAACCAGCTACTGGAGTTCTTACCTCTGCCAATGCAGAGACCAAATGGGCGACCCTGTCCCTTCCAATCCTCAGACTGCATCTCAGACTGAATCCTCAGACTGCAATGAGCTCCTGTCTCCTCTGCTTTATATTCCTCTCTCTACCCAGCCATATGCCTTCCTGTCTCCACCTCCTTAGTGCTAGGATTAAAGGTGTGTCACTCCAAGTGCTGAGATCACCTTTGGTGTGAGCTCTTTTTTTCTTTTAGACTAGATAGCCCAGGTTGACCTTGAACTAACAGGTCTGTCTGACTTTTGAGTGCTGGGATTAAAGGTGTGTGTCACCACTGCCTGGCATCTGTGGCTACCTAGTGTGGCTTCTGGGTTTAGGGTGTGTGCCACCACTGCCTGGCCTCTGTGGCAAACTTTATTTGTTAGATCATAAAATGTCACCACAGCCTGGTGAAGGGGAATATTTATCACTGCCCAGCTGGTATGTTGTTTTCCAGCCTGGATGTTTCCAGAGACTTAGCAATATATAGCAACTCTGACTTACAGTATACTGTGGAAGGGTATAAAGGTAAGCTAGTTTGTGCAGTATGCTGTTAATTTTCTTGAATAAAAAATGAGTTCATGTGCTGAGAATGAGGGCATTGAACTGGATTTGTAGGAGGCTTGGAAATCATGCTATTGGAAAGTCTAAACCAACTGTTAAGAATCATGAGGAAGTTGAATGATACTCCTCTTAAGATACAAAACTATGGTAACTGCAGGGGTTTTGTTAATAGTACTTCTTTATAGATGTCAGTAAGAATGTCTTTATTTTTATTAAGACTGAAGTGTATAAGTTCTTGAATGTGTGGGTGTGACAAGGAGGCGAAAAGCAGTTGAGAAATACTGCTGAGAAATTATTTCAAAGAAAGTGGAGCATGGGAGAAAATGTAGACCTGGCTTTGTGAGCTATTCAGGCTTAACAGGTGTAGCCTGGGAGGAAAAGTCTTGGTAAGACTGAACAATTATGGAAATTATAGTTTAATAAAACAGGGCTGGGTGATGGCAAAGTCAGTGTTTTAGCCAGCATTGAGTCTAATGTGCTAAAGTACAAAGTTGTTGAAGTAGTAGAAGGATTTAAATTGTATTTTTACTGTTGACTGACTATTGGTAAGAGCCAGTTTGATATGATGGGAGTAGATTTAATAACCTTTAGCTAACTTAAATGTTCTGAAGGGGACTTGTGCATATATGTGTTGAGGACTTTGTAAACTATGGTTGAAACATTAAATATAGCAATGAGACATTTTAATGTACAAAAGAGCAACTATTAGAATGTCGACTGTATCAGATACTTAAGATGTGTTTTATTCCTTTATGAAAGGATTGTTGGTTAGCGAGTTCTCAGGACCTGTTTTCCTCAATTATGGGCTTACAGCTGTGTCCAGCTCTTTATGTAGGTGCTGGGGATTTGAATTAATATCATCATGCTTGCCTATCAAGCATTACAGAGCATCTCTGGTTGCTGTTATTCAGTGAAATAGTTATTCAGCTATTTAAAATGTGTTTTAATAAACTATTATGTTTGTGTACAGTTATAGTAGAAATTGTAACTGTTCTGATCAGTTTTGAGCATGATGGTTGTGTGTCTTGGTTTTAAATCTGTGTTGCCTACTTTAAATTCTAGCCTGGACACTTGACTATCCTTAGGATGTTAGTGAACTTACTAAGCTCTCAGAAGTGTCTATCTGATCAGAAGAAATAGAGAGTATGTGTTACAGTGGCTGTTATGAGATAACATAGCTCGTATTTTTATGTGCCTAGAACAGTGTTTTCAGACACTTTTAATGTAACTGTTCAGTAAATAAATCTTTTACAGACATGTCTTCAAATATCAGATATTTCAGCTTCTCTGTAGTTTACTTACCTGTTAAATTACATATTTTTTTGTGTTTTTTTTGTGTTTTTTTGTGTTTAAAGTTTGTTAAGTTGCCCTTCCCTTCTGTCTCCTAGAGCTGCTTATCATCCAGAGTTTCCAACTGTTCTGACAGCTTTAGAAATAGACAATGCTGTTGTTGCAAATAGCCTGATTGACATGCGGAGCATCGAGACTGTGCTGCTGATCAAAGTAAGGCCAGGGTTCATACTCTATGCTGTTCCAAAAATCTTTATCTCATTGGAAAATCTATAGGATAACATAGAGATGGGACCTGGCACTTCAGGCTATTTGTAAAGTATTTCATAAATATGTTATTTTGAGAATTATTTCAATGTTTAAATAAAAATACTTGAATTTTCTTACCAGTAGATAAAATTTTAAAATATATATACCAGAAATACTTTGACATTGTTTTAAAAATGTATCTTTTTTCTATTCTAGAATAATTCTGTAGCTCGTGCAGTCATGCAGTCCCAAAAGCCACCCAAGAATTGTAGAGAAGCTTTTACTGCTGATGGTGATCAGGTTTTTGCAGGACGTTACTATTCATCTGAAAGCACAAGACCCAAGTTTCTAAGCAGAGATGTGGATTCTGAAATAAGGTTTGAATTGAGTTAGTTTTACTATATTATTACCACCATTGCCTTTAGAATCCATGGCCTTCCTTCCCTTAGGGGTTATTTCAGGAAAGAATTGTTATTTTTCTAAGTGTTTGGTCTTAAAAGATTATTTAACTAGGTGTGGAATTGAGCATTTAGTTTGACGCAGTATTGAGGACCAAATACACAGAATGTCCTCAGCAGCTGATGTACACAGTGCTACCTGTCCACAAGCTGTAAGGACACTGTACTAAGAGTGTGAACTAGTGCTTGCTTGGGAGCATGTGTACTGAGATTGGAACAGTACACAGAAGACTAGTGTGGCTCCTGGGAAAGGGTGGATTGCAGAGTTGCAGCATTCCATGTTGAAGAAATAGAGTGGTATCACTGCTCACTCTTGAGACACAATGATTTTTTTTCTTTAGCTAGACTCCAGCATGCTGAGCTACATATACAGTTACATTGTTTGAAAAAGCAAGAAAGAAGGTCAGTTGACACAATTAAAATATAGGCTTAGGAAAATAGGGCTGGTAGACAAGATAAATTGAAAAGTTACACTGAGGGGTGGTAGCACATGCCGTTAATCTAGGAACTGGTGGCCAGAGGCAGAGGTAGGTGAAACTCTGAGTTAGAGGCCAGCCTGGTCTACAGAATGAGTTCCAGGGCAGCCAAGGCTACAACAGAGAAACCCTGTATCCAAAATCAATCACCAACGAACCAATCAATCAACCAATAAAATAAAACAAAAAATTGAGAAGTTAAAAGAGTCATATCCTTAATTACATAGAGAGGTTTTTGGTTTGCAAAAAAGAGTTTCTGGTACCAGTGATATCTTGAATTTCTAATTAAACTAATTTCCTTTGGTGAAGTGATGGATCGGGCTTGAGTTAACAGCTTGAGTATGTTTAGAGTAAATTAACTTAAAGATCTAGTGCTGGTGCTGTCTTTGCTGCTTGGGACACTGAGGCAGAAGGATCATTGGTTTAGTAGGGTCCTGCCTACCTGGGAGGTCTTATATTCATCCTCTAGTACCACTACTGGAAGGAAGGAAAGAAGCTTAGCCAAAGTAAATGGATTGATTCTAAGTGACTTGCACGTGTAAGGAAATGAAGGTGTTGTTGAAGTTTCTCATTTTCAGATGTTGACTAGTTTTCATGTGATTATTAAAGTAGCATGAAATTACTACAAGACTTTGGTAATTTTAAATAAAAGTTCTTGATTAGCAATAGAAAAAGGTTGGGGAGAAAAATCCTGACCAAATGAATGTTGTGGCACTTGGTTTAGTTTTTCATCCCAAAGGAGTCCCATTAGGAAAGAATGCATGATGTGTGAGCAGGCTCTTAGGGTGAGTACCTGTGTTGTTGAACTGCATGGTGAAACAGTTTAATAGACATTGCTGAAGTATACTTCAGAGTTTATGCTTTCATTTGTTCCTTCAAACAGCAAATACTTAGTGCTTGCCAAATGTGTTAAGGAGGGGTGGGTATTTTATACATGAACAGTCTTGTGGAAACCAACAAAGTTCAGTGCAGGATTAGAGATTCATTGCTATTCTGGAATATATTCATGTCACATAAGCAACTTGTATGCTTAGCTCATGTTTAGTATATCTTATTAGGTAACAAATGGTCTTTTTCATGTGTAAACTAGTAAAGCAGAACACTGAAATTGTAGCTTTTGGTACATTGCTGCAAAGAGACCCTTGATAGTTTTGGCATCTGCCATCCTTGTTTTCTGTCTCTTTGTCCTCTTTTCTCTCCACTCCCTACACATTCTTAGCATTTTTTCCTTAAACAAGAATTGTTAAGCTATTCTTAGGTCTTTTGCCACCACTGGGTGTGTTTGTGTGTGCATGCCTGCTCCCTGCTTCACCTAGCTGATCTAGCTGGAAAGAAGGTTCTTCCAGAAGCACATTTGCATTCCTATAGCTGTGAGGACATAGGTATTTTGTCCTATTATTTAATGTTGCATGCAGTCTGGCCATCTTCTTTTTGAGGGATAAAATCTTTGTCCTGTTTCTGCCTCCACTGTCCTCTGTGCATAATCCCTGGAGAATAAAATTCATATTGTAATATTTGCTAATCAAATAAGTAAAATTTAAGTTTAGATGATCTTTTCACATTCCTGCTAGTTTTTAGTAATAACTTGGTAACTTCTTAATGATTTGACAGGATTGTAAAACTGGTTTGATGAAATAGAGTTTTGTAAATAAATTATTTCAAATAAACTTGTTGTAAAGGAGCAAGATATCTAATAAAAGAGTTTATTTTTTTCTCTTTTCTATCAAGTGATTTGGAGACTGAGATTGAAAATAAAAAGGCCCACATAACAAATCTTCAGCACCATCTGTCTGCCCTCGAGAAGGATATTAAAAGAAATGAAGAACTTCTTAAAAGGTGCCAGATACATTATAAAGAAATAAAGGTAACAAAAATAATTAATAACCTTTGGTTTTCCTAATTTAACCATTTCAAAGTCAATTGTATAATTTTGTCATTTATGCCCTCAAAGATTTTGGCCTCACTCCCTTTGTATTCAGGAATAACTTTTTCCCCCAAGACAGGGGACAGGGTTTCTTTGTGTAGGCTTTGGAGCCTGTCCTGGAACTCGTTCTGTAAACCAGGCTGGCCTCGAACTCACAAAGATCCATCTGCATCTGCCTCCCAAGTGCTGGGATTAAGGCGTGCACCACCACTGCCTGGCTAGGAATAACTTTCTTTTGTGTGTTATATAAAATAGGGTTTCTATTGCTGTGATAAAGCATCATGGTCAAAAGCAAATTGGGGAGGAAAGGTTTTGTTTCCAGCTTCAAGTTCCACATCACAGTCCATCGTTGAAGGAAGTCAGAGTAGGAACACAAGGCAAGAACATAGAAGCAGGAGCTGATTGATGCAAAAGCCCTGGTGGAATACTGCTTACTGTCTTTCTCCTCATGACTTTGCTCAGCCTGCTTTCTTAGGGCACCCACGACCACCAGCCCAGTGTAGTGCTGCCCTTGGTGAGCTGGGTCCTTTTATATATATCAGTGACCAATCAAGAAACTGCATTATAGGCTAGTCTAGTTGGGGCATTTTCTTAATTAAGATTTCTTCCAGATGATCCTAGCTTGTGTCTAGTTGACATAATAAAACTAGACAACACCAGTGTGTTGTATCTTATCAGTACTTAAAGTTTGTTTTTCTTTTTTCTTTTCTTTTCTTTTTTTGTTTTTTGAGACAGTTTCTCTGTATTGCCCTGGCTGTCTGGGAACTCTGTAGATAACCACCTGCCTCTGCCACCTGAGTGCTTGGATTAAAGGCATGTGCCATCACTACCTAGAAATAGAGTTTTTAGAAATGAAAATAAAACTTTGTTTTGTGGTGGGCACACTTATAAACTACCTGTAAATTTGAGAGAAAGCATTATTAAAAATGATGGTTAATATTTCAGTGCTTTTCTGAAAATAGTTTTGACTACATGGACTTCCAGACTTCCAGGGATTATTTGGGTCTTTGGGAAAACTCTGTATTGTTATAGTAATCTTTAAATAATTTGAAATATTTAGGTATTTTAGAGAAGCATTTTCTCTTGTTGACTCAAGAGTGGGTTATTTAGAATGCTAAAATGTATTTCTTATGTTTTCTTTGCATGGACACAGGTTAGTAGAGTAATCATGGTGACATGCACAAAAATTCCTCCTTTGGTTCATTGAATACTCATGTATCCCCTTTAATGCTATTACATCCTACTGTTTTATAAGCATAGTAGAGCTTTGTAGTTTAATATAGTCTTCCAAGGACTTTGGTTTTTATTAAATTCTAAATACTTCCTTTTTAGATGAAAATAAGAAAAAATATTTCTGAAATTCGGGAACTTGAGAATATAGAAGAACACCAGTCTGTAGATATTGCAACCTTGGTAAAAAATACTTTTTTTCAAATTAAATGTTAAAGGATAAAATTATAACAGCTTATTGGTTTGCAAGTCTTGCTTTTTAAAAGATCCTTAGTTGCAGCTATGCTTTATTTTATGATCACCATTGCCACTCATAAAATATATTAGATCCTACATGGAGTGAGACTTTTCTTCTACCACATGTGGTAAACGTGAGCAAAGCATGTGCATCTAAACAGTGTGCCCGAGAGCTGCTGCTTCTCTGATAAGCAGGGCCTGAGGTCAGGACTGCCCTTCCAGTCAATCAGGGTTGAGCTTGGATTCCTTATTCCAGGTTCATATTCCATCTCATTTTTTTAAACATGTTTTTCTGTATTTAAATTTTCTAGCCCTCTGTTTGTGACATCCAATTTAACTTTTTCTGGAGTACAACAAAGAAGCTCATTAACTCATGTCCTATGTAATGAATGGCAGCATGTTACATGCAGTAAGCAGTGAACAAAACAGAACAGTCCAACTAGAACTCTTGGCTAGTGAGGATTGTTGAGTTTTGTTAGTAGTCCTGTTTCCTGCTTATTATTTATTAATTTTTATTGATAAACTACCTTTATAAAGGCATAGGTTATGTCTTAATTATTTTTTTTTACTTAGCAGATACCACATTGTCACAAATATATACTGATTTATACTAAGTACATTTTGAAAGTGAGTAGATGGAATAAGTTATACTTTTGTATAGTTTCAAACAAAATATTATTTTACTTGACTGGTTAATACCATTCCTTTTTTTGAACCTTTTTGCCCTACTTTATAAGTTCCCATTTAAGTATGAAAATATTTCAGTTTTGTTTGTGTGTTTCTTTTTTATCTTCACTCTGATTTTTCCTGTTGTCCTCTCCTCTTCAGAATTGCTTATATATAATATGTCTATATATTTTTGTTGGATGACTTGCATTTAACTCTATGTTCTTTAAATGTTATCAGGAAGATGAAGCTGAGGAAAATAAAATAAAAATGCAGATGGTTGAGAAAAATATGGAGCAACAAAAAGAAAACATGGAGAATCTTAAAAGGAAAAAAATTGAAGCAGAAAACAAGTATGATACAATTAAATTGAAAATTAATCAGCTGTCAGAGCTGGCAGATCCACTTAAGGTATTTAAACAGTTGTTACTCTTTTATGTTATAGCTTATTACCCAACAAGCTCGTACAATCTTGCCTTGAAAATCATCACTAGTTAATTGTAAATATAAATATATAAATTGTTGAATTAGGCCATTTAATACAAAATATTCTGCTCTTATCTTTAGGAAAATGAACACTTGGATCATAACCTTTTTGCCCATCAGAAGCAGCAGTTTGTTTCTGTCCCTGCCTGAATCTTCCCATCTTTCCTTTAGTTACTAATGGATTAGCCACTGTGAAAGCCAGCTTGAAATAAAATGTTACTAAACCTGTTTATCAGCATATCTCAGTTAGATTTGAGGCTGATTTTGGTGTGTTTTAAAACAGGGCCACTTAAAATATTAATAGTGACATGCTAAAACAGAAGAAGAAAAATTAGCAGTAAATTATTTACCCAGGAGACTTGAAATTAGGAAAGAAGAACAAGCTGTGTGGTTTTTTTTTTTTTTTTTTTTTGGTTTTTCAAGACAGAGTTCCTCTGTGGCTTTGGAGGTTGTCCTTGAACTAGCTCTTATAGACCAGGCTGGTCTCGAACTCACAGAGATCAGCTTGCCTCTGCCTCCTGAGTGCTGGGATTAAAGGCATGTGCCACCACCGCCCGGCAGAGCAAGCTGTGTTTTGGGCTTATTTTATTTGTTCTTGTTTTACTTTGTATGTGCTGCTGCGACAAATTCAGGGCTTTCCTATATGCTAGCTATGTAAGCACTGTACCCCTGAGCTTTCCATCTCTGCCTCTGTTGTTTTCTTTTGTGTTCTAAATTCTGTTTTGAATTCTCTGTACTTAATATCTAAGGTCAAGCAAGCTGTGAACTTGGGAGTTCTTAAGTATAAAGGGCAATAAGAATTTTTTATCTTAGCTCTTTGCCTTACCTTCAAATTGTTGAAAGATAGGAGCTGAGTTCTTTGGTAAACCTGTTTGTAAGCAAGTACTAGCAGGAAGTTTTTCCTCCCCCCCCCCAATGTCACACTAGCTGTCAGTAGTAAAACCAAGATGATTTTTTGAACAAAATAATTGAATTCCTAAGTACTTGGGAGTGTATTCAGTGTTAGTCAGAGGTGTTGTTGGGAGATTATGAGATCACTGAGGTCTTGGCGTGTGGGTTTTTCCTTCTCTAAAAAGTGCAGTTGGCACTTTATCAGGTAAGTTGTCCCTTTTCCCAAACCCTTGAGCACCCACCCCACTGTTAATGATCCTTCCTTTATAGATTGTGTTGTCTTTATTGAAACAGGATGAATTAAATCTTGCTGACTCTGAAGTTGATAGCCAGAAACGAGGAAAGCAACATTATGAAGATAAGCAGAAAGAGCATTTGGATACTTTAAATAAAAAGAGAAGAGAACTTGACATGAAGGAAAAGGAGCTACAGGTTAGCCAATGGTTTGGCTTGCTCTTTCCTTTCAAATTATTTATCTACAACTTTAATCATTAAATTTTTTGCAATTTTTAAAAAAAGTTTTTATTTTTACTTTTTCACTGAAAATAGATTTTTTTATACAGTATATTCTGATTATGGATTCCTCTCCCCCATCTTGTCCCCCAGATCTTCCCACCAAAATCTACACATTTTCTTTCTTTTTATCATTAACAGACTTTGTTTGTTTATTTTTTGTTGTTTTTATTTTTGTTTTGTTTTTCGAGACAGGGTTTCTCTGTGGCTTTTGGAGGCTGTCCTGGAACTAGCTCTTGTAGAGCAGGCCGGTCTCGAACTCACAGAGATCCACCTGCCTCTTCCTCCCGAGTCCTGGGATTAAAGGTGTGCGCCACCAATGCCCGTCGAAAAACAGACTTCTAAAGTTAATAATAAAACAAAAACAAGCAAACTAGAATAGGAAAAAACAAAAAAAATAGAAAAGAAAAAAAAAAACCAAGAAATATGTATAGATACTGTCACACACAGAAAACCCATAAGGATAAAACCAGAAACCATAATGGAAAAGATCTGTTTCGTTCGTTCATGTTGACCATGTGCTGCTGGGCATGAGACCTGCCCTTATGTGTGTGTGGTTTGTATAGCCAGTGAAAGTCCATTGGGGATTTTCATTTGTGGGTGGTTATCATTTGGAGATAGCTTTTGGTTTAGAGATGGGGCTAATGTCTCAGCACTGGGATCCCTTCTAGCTTAGACTTTTGCATGGCTTGTGCATGTTACTGCAGTCTGTGAGTTCATATTATGTGTTTCAGTCCTGTTGTATCTGGAAGGCCTTGCTGCTTTGGTGTTCTCTGTTCCCTGCCCTTCTTAGAATTTTTCTGCCTCCTCTTCTGCAGCATTCCTAAACCCTGAGGGGAGGGGTTTGATGAAGACATCCCATTTAGAATGGAGTGTTTGAAGGTCTTTCCCTGCCCCTCTCTCTGCATAATGTCCAGTTGTGGGTCTATTTGTTACCATTTACTATAGGAGGAAGCTTCTCTGATGATAGCTGAGCAAGGACCTAGTTTCCCCTAGGCCCATGTCCTAGCTAGTCTCAGGTGCTTGGCCACTGGGCAGTGCAGGGTGTAGATTCCATCTCATGGAGTGGGCCTTAATTCTAATCAGATAGTGATTAGTTAACTTCCACTTTTGTGCCACTATTTTAGTGATGTATCTTGCATGAAGGTCACCATTGTAAATTGAAGGGTCTGCAGTGTTTACATTGGTGCTTATCTTTCTTCTCCGGTAGTGTGCAGAGTGCCTTCCAGTACCTTGGACACTAGTTAATTGAGGTGAAGATTCTTCATGGACACCAGTTGTCTCCATGTTCAGTGATCTTTCTCTCTCTCTCTTTCTTTCTTTCTTTCTTTCTTTCTTTCTTTCTTTCTTTCTTTCTTTCTTTCTTTCTTTCTTTATGTTGTTTGTTTTCTGTAGATGTTGTCTTCGATAGGTTCTTACCATCAGTTTGTGTAGAGCAGCCAGTAGTAGCCTTGGCAGTAGCCTGGGTTTGGAGGTTTCCAAAGGGACCGATCAACAGTTTAATTAGATGTGACCCATTCCTGGAATTGGAGGTTTCATTTGGTGGCAAGCAGGATCTAATTGGAGCTTTGTCTCCTCTGTTATTTGGTGATTCCATTTAGTTTTTTTTTCATATATGCATATATTTGTATGTATATATGTATATATATTATGAAGTGTCTATTGGATTAGCTTTCCATACAATATCTGATTTTTAGTTTTTAAATTAACTATAAAGTAATAAAATAGGCTTCCATATGAGGTTTCCACACATGTTTCTTTTTGGTTAGTTCCCTCTATCCCCATGCTCCCTTATGTCTCTGCTGCTGTACTCACCATACTCTTTTGTTTTCATCCCTACTTCTACATTGCTGTGTTGTCTTTCACACTTCCTTCCTAAGAGCTTTTTTCTTTAGGGTCATGTCTCTAGAAAGAAAAAAAAACAAATTGTCTTGAATTTTTTGTTTCCTACAGAGAGAAACAGGTGCTTCTGTGAGTTGACAGGAGAGACTTAGTGTCCCTCAGAATGTGAGGACTCAACTAGACCAGATTGTCTTCCATTGTGTCTCAGTGGTTGAGAAAGTGGCTCTCTCCGTTAGTATTCTTTAAGTGCATGCCACTTAATGTCAGGACTTTGTCTCTACATCACTGGGGGGTGTGCTGGCAGGGTTTAACTCCTGCTAGCTGTGCCTGTTCACAGTTAAGCAACTACTGTGTTTTTAGGGAATAAATTGAAGGCACTCTTGTAGCCTGAAGAGGTGGATTCCATCTTTGCTTTAGGTCCTAAGGGAAATGAGTAGAACACTTAATCTGTTTCCATATTTGTTCCAAACATAATACAGTACATTATGGTATGAAATAGATATTTTGTGTGAAAATCTTAGCATTTTTCATTGTCTATAAACAAGATGATCTATTTGTGTTTTCCATTCCTCTGTTCTTCAGAGTATGTCTTAAAGACAGTACATTTCTAATGACACGTAAGTGTATTTCTTCATTTTAAAATATGGATAAAAACATCATTATTGTGGGTTGGAGAGCTGGCTGAGCATCTAAGAGCAGGACCTGAATGTGCTTTTCAACATCCATGTGTAGTATTCACAACTGCTTGTAACTCCAGCCCCAGGGAGATCCAACATCTCTGGCCTTCACAGGCATCTATACTTTCGTATACATATATAATTGAATATAATAGATCTTTAAAAAAAAAACAAAACTCTGGCTGGACAGTGGTGGCACACGCCTTTAATCCCAGTACTTTGGGAGGCAGAGGCAGGTGGATCTCTGAGTTCAAGGTCAGCCTGGTCTACAGAGAGTTCCAGGACAACCTTTAAAGCTACAGAAAAACCCTGTCTCAAAAAAAAAAAAAAAAAAAAAAAAACCCAAAAAACACTGGTAGGAAGTGCATGTCTTAAATTTAAGATCATTTTACTTGGCATATTTTGACAGAATTAGTATAATGACTTATCATAACCAAGAAGTTTTTAAGATCTAAATATCTTTTCCTAGGAGAAAATGTCACAAGCAAGACAGATCTGCCCAGAACGGATAGAAGTAAAAAAATCTGCATCAATTCTAGACAAAGAAATTAATCGATTAAGACAAAAAATACAGGCAGAGCATGCTAGTCATGGAGATCGGGAAGAAATAATGAAGTAAGTGGTCATTAATTTTCTACATTAGTGTATTTTCCATGGACATTATTAAGACAGAATCATTTTATATGTAAATTTAATTTGGATGAAGGGTTGCCATCAGTATGTAATTGTACTATGGGCATTATTACTAAGTTATGGAATGACATTTTAACATAAATGCAGTATTTAACATAAAAATGCAGTTTATGTTAAAAAATCATATGGACAGGAAAATATTGAGCTTCATAAGTGATCAAGAACTGCCAATCAGCATAATAATTAGTCACTAAGAACCTAGGTCATTGTGGTCTCAGTGAAATGGCTATTCTTATATTACTGATAAAAAGAAAGGCTTTAAGAATATTAGAGGACTTTATGGTTTTGCTGTCATCTACTACCAAGACTCTGGCCAATCATCGAATCTTCTTTAGACTTCTACGTTTACATAATGAGTACAATTATGATAACTTAGGGTTTGTTGGGAAAAGCAAATGAAAGAATCTGTAGTAAATAGAATCTAGAGGAAACCTAGCGTATAATTGTTAAAACTCTTTATCAGCATGAATCAAAATGCTTGTGGAATATTTATTGCAATTTTAAATGAATCACTTTTATATTGTAACATAATCTAAAGTGAGAAAACATACCAAGCCCTTTATGTAGGTATTTTTTTTTTTTTTTAATGAAACGTTAACAGTAGTACACAGCTCTGGAAAATGGCTAAAGAATAGTAAAATTACAGCTTTTTTCCAAAACCCCTCTTTATGTTACAAAAGGCTGAGAAGGGGTCCAATAAGGTATCTCAGCAAGTAAAGGCACCAGCCGCCAAGTCTGGTGGCCTGAGTTCAATCTCTGGGACCCATACTGTGTAAGGAGGGAACTGACAGCATTGATTATCTACCAGCCTCCACATGTGCCGTGGTGTATGCACAAATACACACAATAAATAAGTAATCTTTAAAAGCAAGTTTGAGAAAGCAAGTGATCTCAGCTTCATTTGCAAAACACTGGGGGGAAAATCAGACTATTAAGAAGTTTCTGGAGGCAGTACATCACACTTAAAAATTTTGTAAACTCCATAATTTAACTGTGCATGACACTTAATAGAATACTTGCCTATCATACCCAAGGCCCAGGGTTTGATTCTCAGTACTGCAAGTATGTATATATGTAAGTATGAATGAGTTGGGGAGGGCGAGGAATGACACTGTAACATTCTTGCTGTGCAATCAGAGTGTCCTGAATTTGGATCTCCTGTACTTTTGTAAACTTGGTGGGGGACCGGCTATCTGTAACCCAGCACCAGGGCCAAGTGGGTCTGAAATGGGCCAGCCATTCTAGACAAATATACGGTAAGCTTCAGATTTAGTGAGAGAGTTAACAGACTGTTGGTTTCCTTCCATTGTGGCATTTTTGAGTAGTCATGCCTTCCTTACCTTGCTGGTCTATCCTGTTTAGAATGGAGGGGTTCCAATGCTGACCTTGTGTCTCTTTGTTCCCTTGTTGACATCTGCTACTAAGAAAATCTTCTGGTGTGGCTCTTTTATTTTTAGAAAGTGTCAGTTTACTAGTGTTTCCTGAGCTCTGCTGCCCCTGAACCTACCTGGGTACTTATGCACATACCTTTTCCATGTCACTCATTTTCTAAGCCTTGGATTTTGTTCTTTCCCCTTCACAGTTGCATTGTCTCTCTTCATTAGCGTTCATTCCTTGTGGGAATATACTTTGACTAGAAATTCATGGATTCATTGTTCTTGGGCCCTCTCAACACTACTTCTTTCCCTTCTCTCTCCAGTAAAATATGTTTGAGACTTTACTTGTATGTTTGTATTTATTTAATGAATATTTTATTCATAAAATAGGCAGTACCAGGAAGCAAGAGAAACCTATCTTGATCTGGATAATAAAGTAAGGACTTTAAGAAGGTTCATTAAATTACTAGAAGAAATAATGACTCATAGGTACAAGACATACCAACAGTTTAGAAGGTAAGTTCATTTTAATCTATTTTGTTTTCATGTTATTCTGTATGAATAATAAAATCATTAGATCTTTCCTCAGTCCAGAGATACTGTGGGTGCATGATCCACATTTGGAATCTGTAGTTGAATCAGAATGCTGATCTGAAAAGACCTTAACAGCAGGTTGACCCAGCTTTTCCACTGTTAGGTAGCATTTACTAGATAGCTCTCAGATTCTGGTTAATGCCTAGTAGGTCATTTGAGTGGGAAGAAAGTGGTACTGAAGCAACTAATTTTACTCTTATACATTGTATGTTACTATGTCACTAAGGGAGATTGGAAGAGACTCTTAAGACAGTGATTCAATTGTTTTACCATAATCTACTAGAATGGTAGAGCTTCATGATTACAAACCTTTGTTTTATTTACTGCATTACCAGTATTTATAACTGTGCTTAAAATATAGTTGGTGCTTGATATACATTGGTTGAATAAGTAATTAAGGAAATAAGCTATTAATATCATATCTGTGATGCTTTGAAAGGAAGTGTCCCCCAAAGGGAGTGGCACTATCAGGAGATGTGGCTTTGTTGGAGGAGGTGTGTCACTGTGGAAGTATGTTGATGCAGGCTTTGAGGTCTCATATATGCTGAGCCACATCGTGTCTCAGACCACTCCTATTGCCTGTGAGTCAAAGATGTAAGAGCTCTCAGCTCCTTTCCTAGCACCATGTCTGCCTGCATACTGCCTTGCTTCCCACCTTGATGATAATGGACTAAACCTCTGAACTGTAAGCCATCCCAATTGAATGTTTTCCTTACAAGAGCTGCTGTGGTTGTGGTGTCTCTTCACTGCAACAGAAAGAAACCCTAACTAAGATAATACTCAAAGATGCACAGTCTATCAGGAGTGAATAGATCCTCTACTTACATCACAAGAAGCTGAAAAAAGCTGGAAGACAGATGATACAGGATATAGTTCTTAACATCCTTATTCCCAAGTAGCTGTAGTTCTGCTTGCCTCTGTTTTCTCCAGACAGTCCCTCAGTAATGCTTTTTACTTGTCTTTATATCCCAATTTCTACCAGTGTGTGTGTGTGTGTAGGTTGATAGCAAGTATGTTTCCCTAACCCACCCACCCCCCACCCCCCAATTTTTATAAATTTTCAGACAGCATCTTTCACTGAACCTGAAGCTCATCCATTTGGCTAGGCTGCCTGGTCAGTGAGCTTTAAGGGATCTACACCTGTCTATCCCCTTCCCCACCCGTGCTGGGGTTACAGGAGCATGAAGCTATATAGGGGCTTTTTATATGGTTTTTAGAGATCCAGTCTCAGGTTTTCACACTTTAGTGGGTACCTCCACAACTGAACTTCCTAGTCCCGAAATTCTGTGACTTTAAGGCAATAAAAATACATGAAAATATACCTAGCTATTGTATATATGGAGAAATTCAGAGGTGACCTTAATTTTATTATTATTTGGGATATTTGTGTGTACTATATGCTGTGATCTGGCGTGTAGAGGTGAGGACAATTTGCAAGAATTGGTCTATTCCTTTCATCACTAGTCAGAATTGAACTCAGGAGCTAGCTTTAGTGGCAGGCATTTGTACCCGTCTTGCTGACCAGTAGATAAGGCTTTAAAGTTTTGTCATAGTCTTGGACAGTAGTAAACTTTGAAATGCATGTTTCTGATTGTTGAATTGTTTACTTTTCTTTTTTCTCTTTGTTTTGGGCTTTTGTTGTTGTTTTGAGTCAGGGTTTCTCTGTGTAACAGTTCTGGCTGCTTTGGAACTGGCTCTAGAGACCAGGCTGGCCTCAAACTCATTGAGATCACCTGCCTTTGTCTCCTGAGTGCTGGGATTAAAGGCGTGTGCCACCAATGCCTAGCACTAGATGTTGAATTTTTTTTTAAAGGTGTTTATAATAGACAATTTAATTGTGCGAATTTGTGGGATACAGTGTGACATCTCAGTGCATTGCATAGATAGTATGCAAAGATCAGATCAGGGTAATTGGCACAACTGTGGTATGTGCTCTGCAGTTTGTCTTCTGTGTATCTCTCCCCCTGCTAGTGCCAGGCTTTCCAGACTGCATGTAAGTGTAGGGCTCTTCAGCTTATTGTTTCCCGTTTTTCAGAGATCGTTTTGACTGGAACTGCTTTTGCAATTTGGTATCCAAATTGAAAACTCTTGTTTAATATATTTTATCTGGGTTTTGAAGAGATTTAGAAAAATTAAATAGTATTAAATTTTTCTATTTATTTTAAATTTAAAATAAATTCGTTTAAGTTTCTACTATGTACATGTTTTCCAGATGTAGTGTAGTTTGTTTCTCTGTTGTTAAATAGAAAGTAGCATTTAAATAGGCTCTGTGGAAGTTCTGTTTTCTTGATCTGAGTTCACTTTCCTGTTGCTGTGACAGACACTCTGAGAAAAGCCACTTTCGAGAGGAAGGGTTTTTTTTCCTGCTCACAGGTCACGGCAGAGTCCGTCAAGGCAGTAGGAATTTGAAGCAGCTGGTTGTGTTGTAAAGAAGCAGAGAGTGAAGTGTGAATGTGTGCTGTTCTGCTCCCTTCTAGCATAGTTCAGGATTCGTACCCAAGGAATGGGTCCTACCTGCTTTAGACTGGCCTTGATTAGCCCAATAAAGATAATCCATTACAGGTATGCTGAGGCCATTTCCCATGCTATTCTAGATTGTCATGTTGACAACACTAACCATCATAGTGTCTTACCTTACTAGAATCATCTCTGTCCTCTCTAACCTTCTTATTTTCGGGCAGTTGATGATAGAAGTTCTGTGAATGGAAGAAAGTCATAGTTAAATTGAGGAAATAGGCTTTAACTCATTAATGAGTAGAGATGATCAGAAAAATTGCCGGTTTTCTCCCACCTGGACCTTATTCTCTGAATACGGTGCCCTCATTAAAAGTAACCAGGGTTTTATGGAAAGAATGAACTGATAGCAAATCTGTGTTGGGGAGGCATAGATAAGTCTCTTGTTATGGCTCACACCTCAGCCCTAGCCACCCTCTCAAAGTGATGACAGAAAGACTTAGAAGACAGCTTAAAGGGCTTTCATTGCCAAAAATCTGAGACAGTCTGATGAGACAACTTCATCCTGATCACTCAACTGTTAAAGTACTTGCTATGCAAGCATGAGAGCCCACATGAATTTGAGCCCCTGTTTTGTGCCCCACGTAAAAAACGGGTCACAGAAGAGTCAGGCATAGTAGTAGTACATAGTTATAATTTTATTACTGGGGAAGTGGAAATAGGAGGATTTCTAGGGCTCACTAGTAAAACAGCTACCTAAATAGGCAAGCCCCAGAGCAATGAGAGACTGTCTAAGAAATAAGTTAGACAGAGCTGGAGAGTACTGGTTCATCTTCTGTGGTTCAATTCCTAACATCCACATGGCAGTTTTACAACCATCTACAATTCTAGTCACAGGATCCATTGCCTTCTGGCCTCTGTGGATATTGCATGTATGTCATGCACAGGCAAACATGTAGGCAAAACACACATAAACATAATAGTCAAAAAATGCATGCACGTAAGAAAACCAAGATGGATAGCACCAAAGAATAACAGGTGAGGTTATCTCTTGTACATGCATATGTACACATGTACATACAAAAAAAACATATGGGAAAAGGGAATTGAGGCAGCAGAAGTTTCCTTCCAGTAGAGAAGAAATGATGGAGCTTGCTTACATGGTACTTACAAGCGGTAAAGTATTACCGTTAACCTTTTTTCCATTGTGAAATTGGGGAAACAGGCAGATAAATATATTGAATATTTACCTTGGTGTCTCTAAAGCTTAATTTCTTTCTTTATTTTTTAAGCTTAATTTCTTTAAGGACAAGATTTGAGAGTAATCATGCCTTGAATAAATTATTTGGGCAACTAATACATTCATATAGACTGGCAGTCATGATGGGGCATACTAAATGTAGAATGATGCATTTATTCATTTTATAAATATTGATATAAAAGTAATGAACTTGTTTAAATCTAGAACACAAATAAATGTTAAAAGCAGGGAAAATTGGGACTGGGGAGATGGCTCAGAGGTTAAGAGTACTAGCTGCTCTTCCAGAGGTCCTAAGTTCAATTCCCAGCAACCACATGGCAGCTCATAACCATCTGTAATGAGGTCTGGTGCCCTCTTCTGGCCAGCAGGCAGAACACTATATACATAATAAATAAGTAAATCTTAAAAAATAAAAAAAATAAAACAAAATTATGAACTTAAAAAAACAGAAAATGGTCTTAAATCCACCTATTAAAATGAACAGCTGTTATCCAAACATTGGCATAGTTGCCTGTGCCTATACCATGTTGAACATACAGTTCTATATTATAATGTGCCAAATTATTTTATTTGAAGGTGTTTGACATTGCGCTGCAAATTATACTTTGACAACTTATTGTCTCAACGGGCTTATTGTGGAAAAATGAATTTCGACCACAAGAATGAAACTCTTAGTATATCAGTAAGTATCTTGACTCTGCATCTTTAGCATTAGCTGTTTCTTTTCTTTTGATGAAACCTTGATCAACCTTATCCTGTTAGCTTTAGAAAACAAACAGGAATTTATTTCTAAGTTAAAGATGGTTTGTGGTTGTATGTTTAACATTAAGTTGCCCTTAATAAAGCTAGTAGCTTAGATTTTTTATTTCCCCAGTTACATTGTTTTCTTAGGATGCTAAGTACAGTTTTATTTTCAGTCTCACAAGTATTCATCTTGTCTATCCACTCTTGTTTTAAGTTTTTGCACAGCACCATGTAGGACACATTAAGTCCATTGTCTATAGTTGTACTGTGGGAAACCAAGAAGTTTCTGCTTCATAGTTTATCTGCTGTATTCACCATTGTAGATCCTGTGTTTGTGAAAATGTGTACAGAGTGTGTGGTGTGGGGATATGGACAATTATATAGGAAGATTTAAAAAAAAAAAAAACTACTTTAAATAGTAACTGCTGCTCTTGTTACCATAATTTTATCCTAATATTCACAGTAAATATTTGATATTTGGAATGCCCTCATCATTTAGAACCTCTGCATTTTAAACAAAAACTGAAGTTAGTTTTGCCCTTTCTTTGTTTAAATTTCCACTGGTAAATTATGTTCACGATCTCTCTACCCACCATTTAGTTTTGAGATCCAGTTATTTAAAGGCAGAGATTTAAAAGTACTGGGAGGGATTAGACCTGTGGTTGGGGGGTAGTATGAAATGATAACCCATTGTTTTTACTGCAAAAGTACAAGAAATCCAAGGAAATTACAAAAATTCTATTTTTAAAGACATTGGAAAGCTGTGGAAGCAACAGCGACTAGATGAATTGAAATTCCAAGAAGTGGGAGAGCCTGTCCAAAGTAAGCTAACATTGCTGGATATTTTATTTCCTGGAGGCATTTGCTGATCTCAGAATTTTGGTGGTGATGAGGGCTTCTGAGATAAGACAATAAGGCTTGTGGAATGTTAGGTACATGACTAGTATTTCAGTTCATTCTTGAGGGCTGGAGTTGTGTATGGCTAGCCAAAGGCACCAATGCCTAAGTCTTAGTAAGGCTGTAGAGCCACCCCAGGCTAGCTTTCTCCTAAATTAACTGTCAGTCAGCCTTAGCACATGTATGTCCTAGTCAAATGGAAACTTGCTGCAACTTGGTGGGTGATTGTGTTGGCTAGAATATCTGTTCTTACATAAAACATCAAGCATAAAGTAAAAAGATTTGAGTCTCCATCATACAGTTAGGAACTAAGCAGGTTGTCCATGCTCACCATTTATTCATTAGTGTACCGGTAATTCTAGCCAAAATCAAGGAACAAAAGAAAGGGACAATAAAGGAAGTCACATCCCTTATATTTGTAATTAACAGGGTCATGTATGCCGAAAATCTGATGAAATCTATAAAGGAAGCAACTAAAATAGCTAAATGCATCTAGCAGGGTTACAGACAAAGTCAACATTCAAAAATGAATTGTATTTTTATATATTAGCAACATGATCAGAAACAAATTTTAAAATACCATTTATAACAGCATTAAAATACATAGATATGACATAAAAGTTTTTAAGACCTATACCCTGAAAAGCCAAAAGAAGTAGTGAGAAGTTAATGAAGCTCTAAATGAGAAATCCATGGTTGTGAAGGCTCAAAAGTCTCAGCAGTGTCTGGGGAGATGTCCCATCTAGTAAAGTGTTTGCTGTACAAGCATAGGACTTGAGTTTGTATCTCCAGCATTGAATAAACACCACACACTAATCCCAGAACTCCATTCCATAGGCAAAGACAAGCCATTTCATAGGGTTTCTGGCCAGCAAGTCTAGCTGGATCAGTGAGCTCCAAGTTCAATAAGAGACCCTGTCTCAAAAAATTAAAGGTGACAATGATTGAGGAAAACTCCTCTCTCACACACACATATGCACACACTTGTGCATATATAGGGATGTATACATACAACACATACACAATTCAACATGTCAAAGTTTTAGTTCTTAAATTGACCTATAGATTCAACACCATTTGTATCAAAATAGCCCCAGGCTCTTTTGTAGAAATTGATAAGCTGGTCCTAAAAATGTATATGGAGATGCAAAAGAGCTAAAATAGTTATAATAACTTTGAAAAGGAAGAACACTATTTGAAGTCTGCCAACTGAAGGTTAAAGTTATAGACAGTAAAGTTCTGTTATGTCAGTGGTTCTCAACCTTCCTAATGCTTGGATACTTCAATACAGTTCCTCATGTTGTGGTGATCCCAACCATAACATTACTTTGATTGCTACTTCAGAACTGTAATTTTGCTACTGTTATGAATCATAATGTAAATGTCTGTTTTCTGATGGTCTTGGGAGTCTTCTGTGAAAGAGTCATTTGAGACCTCCCAAGGAGTTGTGACCCACAGATTGAGAACCCTTGTGATACAGAGCCATCCAGATACATGGAAACCAAGTGTAGATTACAAGGAGCACAAGGGAATTTACAGAATGATGGGTAGGTTCTTTATTCTGAATAGCAGTTTTATACATAAACATATTTGCTAATGCTTAGTTAAATTGCACAGTTTTAAATATGTGCAGTTTTTTTGGATACTAAAATTAAAAAGGGTTTGTTACAGTTATTTGAGATTTCGTGCCACTGTGTGAGTATGGAGGCCCAAAGACAATTTGTGGGAGTTTATTCTTTCCATTGCGTGAACTCCTAAGAATAAAATTCAGATGCTCAGGTTTGGCCCCAAGTACCTTAACCTGCTAAGCTATCTTGTTGGCCCTGTTATCTATATTTTCTCTTTTTATCTCAAAGCTATAAAAGTTACCAGAGAAATGTGGCTTAGAAATGTGTTTGGTAATTAAAAGGAAAAGCAAGAATAGAACCAAACTCATGATAATTACAGGAGATAGACTAGTGTCTTATCACAAGTGATGTATTTAATGAAATAAGAGCCATAGCTATGTACAGTTTCAATACAGATTTTTTATTTTCCTAGTTTTTTGAGACAGGGCTACTCTGTGTAGCCTTGGCTGTCCTGGAACTCACTTTGTAGACCAGGCTAGCCTCAAACTCACAAAGATCTGCCTGCTTCTGCCTCCTGAGTGCTGGGATTAATGGTGTGTGCCACCACTATCCAGTTTGTAATCCATACAAAACATGGTTCTAAAACTTTGAAAATGTAGTACCTGATAGAAAGAACTCATTGATTGGCTTGGCTTAATAGCCAGCTAAATTAGCTAAAGATAAATTTGAGTTCAGTAAGTCAGAAAGAATATTTTATGTGAGCAACATAAAAATAAAACAAAAACATTGAACAGAGCTGAAGAGACAGGAAGGACACATTTAGCAGGGTTTGTGAGAATTTAATTGGAGTTCCACTAAGAACAGAGTGAGCAAAGAGCAGAAAAAAGTTCAGAACCACAGTTCCTTGGGTCAAGAGCATCAAATTTAACCCCGTTCTGAGATTCTCTCACATTTTGGGAAGTGCTCTTAATTTATAATAAACCAAAACACCAGAGCTACACCGAAGTCTGTAGAACAACCACTGCAAAGACTGTCAAGTAAATGCATACTAAAGCTCAAATAAAAGAAGCAGAAAAAGAAACTACTTAGTGAGAAGCTGGGTATGTTTAATCACATTTGGAATGCTCAAGGAGGAGGATTAACACAAATTAAGAGGCCACTCTAGGCTACAGAGTGAGACCCTGTCTCAAAATAATCAAAAGAGAGAGAACAACAAAGAACATGGAGAACAAACATAAAATAGTGTGAAATAAAATTTAGTACTGGTAATTACATAAGGCCTTTGTGTATAAGACTTTGAGTCGTTAGAGGGAGACTTTAATTATTAACATAAGGACAAGTAGGATCCCAATCAAAAACATGGAGCAAAGGCATGTCATGAGATAGATAAGAAAGCTTACACACTGCTACTAACAACAAAATGAGGTTTACACAGGCTTGAGACCAAAGGAGTGCTTAATAGTATTAGAAAGTTAACTTGAAAAATATTTGAATTTGTATATTCAGAAGACGGTAAATACAGAAGGAATTGAGAGAACCAAAAGGCAAAATAAGAGTTAAATATAGGTGGAAAATTTAGAACTCTCAGTAATTAATGGAAAATCAGATTAAAAGTAAAGTTATACAGGCCTTATTGTATTTACCAAATTGACCTAGTAGCATAAGTATAGAATACTGTGATGGATTATAATTTTTAAGAACTGCCTATGGAACATTTATCAGCATAGACCATTTTCTTGTCCTCAGTTAAAAATCCCAGTAAGTTTCAAAGAATTATAGTTACATAGAATATATTTCAAAATTGAGTGAAATTTTACAAATAAAAGAATACTTAAAGATTCCCCTATTTATAAAATTACACAGCAAATTTCTAAATGATTAAGGAATCATAATACATCACATGGGAATTAGAAGGTAATTTCATCAACAATAAAAATGTAAAACAGCAAAACTTGGAGACATCGTAACACTTTCTTAAAGGAATTTGAAATGTTCTATAGGTGTTTAAGGAGGAAAGGTAGATCCAACATTAGTGGAGTATCTCAGGAAGCTAGAAGACAATTAGGAATTCAGACACAGAGCTCATAAAACTGTGAGCAGAAGATGAGAGGAGAAAGCAAATGTCCAATGGCAACAAAACAGTGGAGAATGCAAAGGAGGCCGAGCACATGGCTCACTCCTCTAGACAGACACTACTATAACCTGTGGGTAGATGATCATTTCATGAATTACTTATATTAAGATTGATAAAACAACAAAATAGACTTTGACCCTTTGTTCCACATTCAGTGTAAAAAGTTATAAAACTTAATGTAAAATGTAGAGCAATAAAACTTCTGGATGAGGTAACCAGTTTTACCTATCAGTAGATGAATAGATAAAGAAAATATAGTAGGTTACATGATGAAATGATATCCCTTTTAACAAGAATGGGATTCTGTTGTTGGCATCAAAATGGATAAATCTAGAGGATGTAATCTTAAGTAAAAGAAGTCAGGCACAGAATAACAAATTGTACATATTCTCATGGGAAATTCAAAATTAATCTTAATACACAATAATGATCTCTACACGTTGCGGAGGGGAGAAGGAGAGTTTGAATAACAAGTACTTAAACACTATTTGATGGGAGTAAGTCCCAGTGCTCCAGCAGTGTGTCCACTGCAGTTCACAGGAACTGTTAGATATACAAGGAAAACTAGAAGAGAGGTGCTTCCGGGCAGTGTTGTTGCACGCCATTAATCCCAGCACTCGGTGGCAGAGGCAGGTGGATCTGTGAGTTCAAGGTCAGCATCGTCTACAGATGGAGTTCTAGGACATTCTGGGCTACACAGAGAAACCCTGTCTTGAAAAGACAGAGTCAAAGAGAGATGCTCAAGGGCTCCAGATACAATTAAGGGGATAGAAATGCTAATTATTCTTACTTGATCGGTGTATGCTTCATATGTGTGGAAATAAAAACACACCATGCTCCATTAACATGTGCCACCCTTGCCTGTCAATAAAAAATAAAGTACTTTCATGAAGATTTAAAAAATAGGACACAAAAAGCAATTTTGAAAAGTTACTGCAATAAGGGAGGTGATTGTCTAGGGAAAGATAATTTTTGGTACAGAATTTTGGTACAAAATTTTTGAGAATAATAATAACATCAACAACAACAACAACAACAACAATAATAATAATAATAATAAATGATTTGAGCTCATTTTAAAATCACCAAAGACTTAAATGAGAAAATCTGGTTACCCAAATGGAGGGCACACATGGACAGCATATGAAGCACATGGACAGTGCTCAGAACTGTTAGTCATCAGAGAAGTACAAATGTTTGCCTCACTAGCTACTGTAGTACCCTAATGAGGATGATGGAAATGAACAATATTGGAAACCTGGTTGGTAAGGAAACGGAATCAGAGCTATTGCATTGCTATTGGGAGAAAGTGGCATTAGTTTGATGTAAATAAAAGGAACACGAATGCTTGTGTTCTCAGAAGATATTTTTTCCTGAGGGGCATTGTGTCTTCCAAAAATGATACATAATATACATTTAAATTCAGACTTTGTCTTTAGAAAGTCAAAAGCAGAATGTATGCTCATTTGAGAGCAGCGTTATGTCTGACACTTATATAAAACTGGTCTTTTCACTTTGTTAGATATGTCTGTAGTTTTGTCAAAATAAAATAGAATGCCTCTTTATATTATTGTCTCAGAAAATTATGCGAAAGGAATGATTCTTATATCATTAATTGATTTGTTGTTACTACGGAGAAATTTTTAAATGTTTTTCAATCCATTCCCATTTTTTGGTAAGCCTCTTCAAGTGGGTTTGTTTTGACAATCTTAATTACTAAAGCTGTGTAGCCACTAGATGTCAGTATAATTCTAGGAATGAAAAATTATCTCAGTACTTTAAATGTTTAATGTGGTTAACAGTTTTAGAAGAACTAGTTTAAATTGTTTATTTTATTAAATAATTTTGAGTTAAATATTGGATTTGTTGTCATAGCTTTGGAATTTTAGTACATTTGGTTCCATTGATAAAAGGTGCTCAATTTGATTTTTTTTTAATTTATTTTTTGTGCATGAACTTTTGGTTTGCATGTATGTCTGTGCACCAAGTGCATGTCTGGTGCCTACGGAGGCCAGAAGAAGGCATCAGGTACCTGGAACTGGACTACTCATAGATGGGCATGAGCTGCATTGTGGGTGCTGGGACATGAACCTGGGTCCTCTGTAAAAGCATCTTGACTCTGAACCATCTCTCCAGCCCCTCAAGTTAATTCTTTAAAGTGAAACAAAAATTGGATAGCTTACTGTTATAGTATAAAATATTTTGAATGGAGTAGATTCTTTCAAACTTCCAAATGATCTTAGCTTTACCCCTTCTCTCTTTCTCTCTCTCTCTCTCTCTCTTTTTTTTTTTTTTTTAACTATAAACCTATTCCTTGTGATCACCCTTAAAGGTTCAGCCTGGAGAGGGAAATAAAGCTTCCTTCAATGACATGCGTGCTTTGTCCGGCGGTGAACGTTCTTTCTCCACAGTGTGCTTCATTCTTTCCCTGTGGTCCATTGCCGAATCACCTTTCAGATGCCTGGATGAGTTTGATGTCTACATGGTATTGTTGCATTTTAAGTTCTCTAATTTTATTTGGTTGGAACGTTTTGAAAGGAAGAGTTTCCCCACAACAGGGAAGGTCATGCCTTGCCACATTAGTTTGTGAAGTTAGTGGTGGGAAGACCCTTCAGTTCATTTCTCTCCATGGCTACTATGTGGTCCTCTAGAGACCCTGCCATATTCCAGCCTTTGTCTTCTTACCATGTACGTCATGAGTGTTCACCTGAAAGCCTTTTCTCCTTCAGCCTTTTCCCTAGCTTATTGCCTTCAACCTAAAGATGTCATAAAGCTTTTGCTTCTCAACACAGGGCTTTTGTAGACTGGTTCCTTTGGTTATGGCCAAGCTTTTTAAGAGAGTAATATTAAGGCAAAAAAGGTAACAAAGATGCAAGATCATTTGTCTTTAAGGGTTAAAAACAATTAAAACCTTGGTCTGCTACAATTTTCAAATGGCTTAGATATATTCTTTAGGGGTCTCAGTTCTCCATGTAATAGATGTTATTATTCGCTACCTCATTGGGCTACAGTGAGGTTCAGATGAGATTCTGTGTCTAATAGACATCCTTACTATTCATGCGTCGTAATTTGGATTTAGGCTCTACAGCAGCATTTGTCTGTTAGATGTCATCCATGAGCTTGAGCTGTATTTATTGGAGTACTTAGCACCTGTCCTCCCTCCCTTGGGATGTGTTTCCTTATAGCCTCTACACTCTTGCTGGATTTACATTTTCTGTGTCCTCTTTTTAGTCTGACTTTTTGCCTCCCAATTCTGATGTCATTGATCTGGATTTACATTTTCCGTGTCTTCTTTTTAGTCTTACTTTCTGCCTCCCAATTCTGATGTCATTGAGTGTTGGAAGTTTTCTGTTTGTTTTTTACAGTATTGTTATTTTTCTGGCTACTTATGTGTAGTTGTGATGTAATAGACCTCCCTCCCTACAGGCCCCCAGGCCACTACTTGCTTATAGACCTACCTGATGAATGTTTCCCATCCTGATATCTCATTTACAGTATAGACTTGTGCGCCTGCTACCCATTCCACCACCCAGTAAACTGCCAGCATTCTGAGCTCAGTATGTCTCAGACTGAGTGGGTCTTTCTCTCAAAGCTTCTTTCTTTCCTCAATTTTTCACCTTGTTAATGACAAATTATCATTACCACCCTAGTCATGTAGCTCTAAATCCCATGTGTATCTGACTAGCTCTTCCCTTTGACCTAGAGGCTGTCTGGCCTTGTTTGTTCTTCTGAAGGTTCTACCCTTTTCTTCCTCCGCATGTGGCTCTGCTACCTCTTGTCCTTTCCTCCAGCTGCTGTGAAAATCTCTTGGTAGGCTTTCGGACTGTGTCTTGCTGCTTCTGAAGCTCATTCTCCACATGTTTTAGGACAGGTGATTTGTAAAAATAGGTCTGATTGTGGTCACCTTTTTAAAACCTCTAAGTGGTTATATCTAAAGTGTTTTCGTTTTGCAAGGTAACATTGAGACTCTTAATGGTATAGTATCTGCCAAAAACTTTAGTTGTATTAACTTATAATTTTTCAGGCACAATGCCCCTGTCTAATGTTTTCATGCATTATTTATTCAAGTCTGCTTATCTTTCGATGATGATTTTATGATGATGCCTTTTGACTGCCATACTTTTTAAAGTATAAGAAACTTGATAAATTTGAAACTAGACATGTTTTATCTTTATCCAGAGTAATTAACTATTACTGTACTTACAGATTCATTCTGTAGTAATTGTGTTGTTGGTATACTTTCTTATTCTTTTAGTTGTTCCTTGTGTTTGAGAGAGGAAGCCATAATGTAAATACTCTGACTATAGAAATGACCTGAGAGAGTATTTATTATTCAGTTACTTTGCTCTTATAGTTTCTAATACTATTTTTCCATAAATGAACTACTTGGCATTGTATGTAAAGTAATGGATCAAATTCTAGAAGTTTGTTTCAGTTAAAAGAATGTTGCTTTTATAAAAATAGCTGATGTAAAACCAATCCTAACTTTTATCGTTTGTTCTTCAGGATATGGTCAATAGGAGAATTGCAATGGACATGATACTTAAGATGGCAGATTCCCAGCGTTTTAGACAGTTTATCTTGCTTACCCCTCAAAGCATGAGGTAATTTCTTAAAACTTTTTTGAATACACACACAAGCATATG